GAGAGTTATTTAGATCCATAAAATAATGTATGTAATATTATATCTTTTTAATGAGTTTGTATCAATTCTCTTATCTTTATTTATTATTTATTGTGTATATCATTTTACAAATAGTTATATGTATGCATCGATAGGCCTATTATAGTCTATACAGTCTCATAGATCAAGTTGTCTCAGAAAAAGGTGTACATATTTGAAAGTGGCAAAAATAGCTCCCAAGTCAGTATGCATTGCATAAAAGAATGAAACATTGCATTTGATAGATTTTCAATAATTTTGAGAGTCTCTCAAGGTGTGACCGAACATTCTTTGAACACCTTTCTTAATGCTTGGTAACTTTGATTGAAACACCTACATCGAAATACTTTTTTTATGTACGCCTCCTTGTCATCCATCATCATTAATAAATATTGTTAACAAATAAAGTTAATTTTCCCGATCATATTCTGCAAATCCAAGGATGATTTTACTGATTAAAACACGGGGGATCTAAAGCAGTGATCTCCCAGCATTAAAGCAAGTGGGCGCAGCACCCACCTGAGATTTTAAAAAGAGGCTTGCACCCACCTGAAAATCCATTAGCACCCACTTGAAAATGTGAAAAAACATGAAAAATGGACATATTTTGACCAATTTTGGTCCGAATTGTGAAAATGAGAATTTAGCAACCACTTGAGAAAAATCCTGTGAAGAACACTGTAAAGACAACATAGTCCATGCAAATATACAGTAAAACTTGTCTAAAACGAACAATCCACCACATGGAAAAGATGTTGACATCAGTATGTATTTAGAGCCTAGAGGTATAGTACATGAAGTACAGTAGATGAAGTTCTCTTTTAAGAAAGGAAAATCAAACTACAGTTATACATCTGAAGACCATTTTATTCTGAACACTTCTCAATATGAATTGCTTTTGTCTGTTCCTTTTTCTAAATCTGCCATAGAAATGCGAAAACCTGTCAATCTGAACACTTTTGGCATATCCAAGTGGCGTTCAGATAAGACGGGTTTTACTGTACTGAAAATGGTTTATTTATTTAGACTAGAGGTAGAGGGTCTTAGAACATGGGAGAAAAGGACATGTTAAAAATGAGACTAAAGCATCTTACAAACTTCAGTTTATGGTGTTATTCACATTGATAGGTTTCCCTGCAGTTTCTATTACAAAAGAGATCAAGTTCGAGCGTATGGGATCAAAAGAGATCCAACTGAGATCAGAAAGGATCAAAGCAGATCATGTTGAGAAAGAAATACCACGCAAACCTAGTAGAAAATGAAGCATTTACATGACAACATATCACTACCAAGTAAATGTTTGCAAATGGTTACAAAAATGTAGCACTTAATGGTGGTGACATATTAACAGCTAACTAAGTTACAAAGTATCTAAGTTACTAATAAGCAAGAAAGTTGTGTTAAACATCAACCCATATTTTCAGTAAAACAGAAAATATGTCAAATATCAGAGCACTGTATAAGTGGTATTTAATCCGAGTGGTTAATTTGGCGAAATTTAATTTTCTAAATGACAAGAAACTTCCCATTAGATAACACTATGAAGATAATATCTCCGACATTTAACTTTCCAAATCTGGCAAATATTAGGCAATAGGCAAATTAAATGATAAGGTAAAGTTAACACTTATACTTTCAAATGAAACGGAAAGATGTGATTCCACATGCTTCTCTCCCTGAGAATTTAATTCAACTTGCTTTATTGAAACTAATTGATAGATTGTGATTTAATGTTGTAAAAAGACAATAAAGATTCATTAGACTGATAAAAGAGATTTGAATCTTGGACAATCAAATCATTTCACTTTTAAAGCGCATATTGCAGGTTACTGTGATTGTAAATTCACACATAGCTCCAGGCAAGGTGTGTCCAATTCCAGCCAATCAGAATGTGCTATTTCATGTAACTGCATTCTGTTATATAACTAATAACGAAGTCACTAGGTAAACAGTTGTCATGGTGATGATTGGACTCATCAGATTGAAATTGATACTTTGTCAGCTTGACATATGCAAAAAGTTTCATAGAAAATATGTTCTTTTAGTGATTTTGTATCCATCGGATGATATTGTAGAAAACATTTTGCAACCTGTGAAAAGAATTTAAGCCCAAGACTAAATGCATTGTGTAATAACCATTCCTTTCAGACTTTGTTTCCTAAAATTTACACTTAATGCAAGCATCTTATTTGGAAAGCAACATTTTTTATTAAAAATAAAATGAGCTAATAAAAAATAAGATATAAAATTTAAAGTACTCAGAGATCTAAAAGAACAATCCATCTTTCGCCTTTTCATAAGTCACTTTTAAAATATATAAAAAAAATCATTTTGAAATAAATTGTAGTGTAAAATATACATTTAGAAAACTTATTTGAGTAGGACAGATTATTTATAAGATTTATAGTAAGGTCATTTTGCATTGTAAAATGTACATTTAAAAAACTTATTTGAGTAGGACAGCTTCTTTAAACATTAATAGTAAGGACATTTTGTAAAATGTACATTTAGAAAACCTTTTTGAGTAGGACAGGTTCTTTAAAACATTAATAGTAAGGACATTTTAAAAAATGTACATTTAGAAAACTTATTTGAGTAGGACAGCTTCTTTTTAACATTAATAGTAAAGGACATATACAATTAGGCTAAAGTTCTTAGCACTTCCTGTTTATATTCTATTAGTAAAGCAGTAAAGTATATTAGTGTTTTACCATTGGTTGTAATCTCACATCATCATGTTTTAAAATAGAAAATAGAGTGCAAAAGGGAAGAAAAAATAAGGAATAAAGTAAACAAAAATGTAGCTGATACTCTAAATTGTATAGAAATGCTGAAAAGTCTGGCACTTCATTCAAATTTTAGAGAGAAATTGAGTGAAATAAGCATGACTGAGGAATCTAAAGACACGGGTTGACTAATTAGAAGGAAGGCTAAGAAAGAGTTGCCGAACAATTCCCATAAATCACTAATTGATTCTCCAATCGTAGATTTCTATTTCTTTCATGATTTCTCTGAATTGAAAATATCAGATTTGTGCTATCATAAGTCAATTGCAAAGCCACAAACTTTTCCCTAAATTAAGGGGATTGTTCCAGTCATTAACATCGGGCAATGACCTTATTGGTGATGTTTTTCATGGCTGTGTACAAAACTGAGTTTTATACGCTATTGTAATTTTGATATTACCAATCTGATTTATTGGGAAAGGAAGTCAATTACCGAAATATATCTTTTATAAACTTCAAATTGAATGGATACTGTCACTAACATTTACTGAGGACTGCGGAGATCCATCTTCCTTCCACTTCAACATGTTATGCATTACAATCTCTTTATTATTAAGTTCCTCGGTCTCATTTGTGTTTTCAGCTTATCATTAACTCAAACGCCGAACCCAGCGGAGGTCTTCGTTAAAACTCCCTGATTGATCTTGATGGATATTGAATCATTTTTCATAATCTTGTTAGAATTATCTAACCTGATTATAAAATATCAAGAATTTCATGCAATTCCTCACTGATCGGGACAAAGAAAGGAATAAGTGAGAAATGAATGGATGTAATATATTGACATATGTTGATACTTGAAGTGATAAATAAATATGGGATTTGGTTTGTGAATATAAATGAGTAAAATGGCAAATGTAAAGGGTAATTATATGCATAGGCAGCAATTTAAATATCATGAAAATGTTTTCAGAAAAACAGGGATAGCTTAGATTTGATAGGAGTTCCTAGTGAATATATATGAGACTGGGTCAACAACCGAAAACATATTATTTCAATCCTGTTTATAAAACCCCTCCCTCGCAAAAAAGTTAGGCAAAAAAGAAGAAAAGTATCTCTCCTTTTAAGCATAATCATGAAAAAAATAAAGTAGAACGAAAAAGGCATTAACATGCAAAATGTCACTACCAGCCATTTGTTACAGACACCAACCACCGAACACTGAACACCAACCGCTGAACACCAGCCATAAAAAAAGTTGGAGACTATAAAAATACGTCACCACCAGATAAAAAATTTCATAATGTTTAAATCCAAGAGGTATTCCATATGGCTTTAATAAGGAATGCACTACAAGAGTAATGTAAAGTGAATAACAGCAAATATGTATCACATGCACTTTCTCTCTATATTAACAGTTACTGTTTATCCTTTCCCTTTGAAAGGCTAAGGGGTCATATCCAAAAAGTAATGACTGTCGATGCAAAAAATTGTTTCTGGCTTTACCCCTGTTCAACTTTTTAAGAATCATACTTTGAAGAAAACAACAAAAATGACAGAAAAGATCATTGCCATATTTCTAGATTCATATGACATAACAAATAGATATTTTCATCACCCCTGAATGGTTTAAATTTGATTTAAGATGATAATTGATTTCTTGACTCTTCCCCTCATATACAGATAGTTATCAAACTTCCAAAATCCTTGTCTGCAGATGATAATACTTAGTAGGCACATTGCATAAGTGTTAAGTTAATTTTCTAATGATCTTTAATTGAAACAGCCTGGATAAATTCACGAGTTAACTCTCCTAAGGAATTTGGTACAAATACAAATATAAGTACTCAAAATTAGATTTCTTGTTAATGTTGTTAATTAATCTAAACTTTATTTCATTAATTAGTATATAATTAATAATTAATAACCATACACTGTATATATATTAAATATATCACAATCATGCAATTAGAAATCCCCACAGATTTTCTTCTTGGATCCAACATGACAGGTCCCTTCAAAAAATGCAAAGTTATGATACAAATAACAACATTTTTGTCTCTGAAAAATTTGTAATGCATCTAATTTTCTTGATTTCTAAACAAGTGATTACATCATTTATAATTCTGCTTATCTTTTTGGTTTAGAATGGACAAAGCACGAACAGCACAAAATTTTGTAAGAAATGCACAAGATTTTTTTGTAAGGGAGTTGTAGTCTGTGGATAGAGATGCTAATACTCTATTAATTGTTCATCTAGCAGAGACGGAGAAACAGATAACAGTTATCTAGTTAGCGTCATGAAAGTTTTTATTTCACACGATAACAAGCAAAACAAATACAATTTATGGAGTAGAGATCAGATTAAAATTGCACAATTGTAAAACTGAGTTAATAGCTAATGGCAGATGATTTATCAAAATATAAATAAAGGTAAAAAAGGATTTAACACTTTACTAAATTGGGAAGAAATAGAGATAAAACATCAATAGATATGTGATTTCATGAATCTGTGGAATTTCTCCAACTCAATACATCAAGATGATAAGGTCAATCAAAATTGGAGAACTGTACAAAAATTTGAAAAATGGTAGATAACATTTGGTTGTTGTATCATCAAATTCCTCACTAAAATAATAAAATAAGGAAGTTGGACAAGTAGATATAGCTTTGGGAAGGCTGGTGTTATGTCACGAAACTGTTGACTCTAAACATTACAATTTGCGCAGAAGACAGGATAGGAATATTATTACATCATAAACATGGAAAGCACATAAAAAAGCAAGTAAATCAAACAAAATAAATAAATTATGAATAAAAAAAATGAAACAAAAATAAAAACAAAGCTGATGAAATAGTGACGAAGTGGATAATATTGTAAAAATACAGCTGAAATAGTGACATAGAGACAGAATGAAAAAGGAACATAAATATTTTCACAAGTGGATTTTTTAATTCTCACAATGGTGATATTTCTCGATTTGTTTTTTCATTTGAAAGATTGGACAATTTATTGACGTAATAAAGCAAGATCGAAAGAAAGATAATTTCACCATGAACACAACAACGAATACCATTCCATCTTATACGAATGGAACGGAGACCCTAACAACGAATCTATCAAATGACAATGAAACAATCTATGTTCCGCAACAAGCTAAGTTCTCCACTGAGGTAACTGTGATACTTATTATCATGACGTCACTTATGGCACTTTTGACCATATTTGGGAACATATTGGTGCTAACTGCATTTACGCTCTATAAAAATTTGCGTACATTTAATAACTATCTCGTGCTGAATTTGGCGGTAGCTGATCTAATCTTAGGGGTCCTATGTATCCCTCTGTATATACCCTACCTCGTGACAGGGACGTGGCCAATGGGGAGAATCGCGTGTAAGATATGGTTGGTGTTCGATTACTTAGTGGGCTGTGTCTCATCCGTGAACATCATGTTAATATGTATGGATCGTTATTACAGCATAGCATACCCTCTGAAACACCGCTTGGCGCAGGATTCACATAAAGTTAAACTGATTTACATCATAACACCGTGGTTAGCGGGATTCATCACATACATGCCTGCTATTGCATTCTGGGATATGTGGGTTGGGAATAGCGTCGTTCCAGATGACCAATGTTTCGTAGAATTCTATAACAACTTAGGTTACTTGTTATTCAGTCAAGTGATTGAATTTTTCATCCCATTCACCACCGTGTGTATCTTGTATACCCTTATGTTCATCAGCATTAGACGCACCACTAACGGGAACATGTCCGTCAGGAGGCATCGCACCGTCAACAACCCTAACTCTGAGAACTCCTACAACTCTGAGAGTCCGTACAAACGAAACAATGCTAATAATAAATACAACAAAGACACCAGACACAATACTGATGGACACATTACGCATGGACACTCTACAGAGGTAAGACACGCTACCAGATTAAACAATGTGGCAGGTGTCAATGAGAGCAAAGAATCCTTAAACTCTTATACATCTGTACTTACAAGATCAACTTTAGTAGGGGAAGGTAATGATATCAGGAACAGTCCAATAATTGGAAAGACTCACAATGACAGGACTCATAATGACAAGACCCACAATGACAAGACTCATCATGACAAGACTCATCATGACAGTAATAATCAAAACAACTTATTCCCAAGCGCAACGATAGTTAAAACTCCAAAAATAGACAAAATACGGGCAAAATTTCTCGATGACAAAAAAGCAGTGATTTCTTTGAGTATCCTAGTCGGTGTTTTCGGGATATGTTGGATGCCATATGAGATAGCAGCTTTGATGATTTCCCTCTGTCCAACCTGTGTACATCCCACAGTCTTTGAAGTAGCTTTCTGGTTACTGTGGATAAACTCAACCATCAATCCCTTGCTTTACCCATTCTTTAACGCAAGGTTTAAACTTGCCTTTAAACGTATGTTGTGTCCGAAGCTCATTAAGCAGAAGGGAGTTAATAAAAGATCTGATGTCTCAAATATGTTCAATGGAACTCATAGGGAAATCCCCCACTTTGAAGACCATGGGGCAGTATTAGAAAATGTTGTGATATTCCACACAGAGACACCTATTTATTAACAATTTCTTCAATAGACTGGAATTCAAATTGGAAATTAGATTTTAATTAAATGTGTTTAATGGACAATGTATTCAGCATTAGAGAAAATATGTATAATTTTTTTTGTGGTGAAACTGTTAAAAAAATGTAAACATAAAATGGTAATATAATGGTGGGCTTAAATGGTGAAAATGACAACAAAATGCAAATTTCTCTAAAACAAGGCGAAAGTATGAGCCATAACCAATGGTATAAATTGTTTTTATGATACCATGGACCCTCATAAAAGGTTGGTACTATATTTTGCGCTTTCAGCAAGTTTTGAAACTTTGCAAAATATAACAGCCACAAAATTCTAATAGCTCTTATTCGTGAAATATACTGTTGCGAAATTTCCAGGAATTTACTAATTATCAAAAATTAATAGCCGCAAAATTTCAATATTGCAAATTGTTTGAAAATTGTTAATGGACAGACAAACAGATTGAAGAACGAGTCAACAGATGACATGGTCTCATTGAGCTAAAATGAATAGCAAAAGTTCAATACCCTAAAGTTATCCATCATCATATGTATCAAATTCAAATTGCATCAGGCCTTTATGAAATGTGTCCAAAACACAAAGACAATCAATTTTGATAAACTACTCCCTAATGACTTAGAGACTTATAAATCTAAGATAAATATCTCAATGCGGTGCACTTAATCAAATAAAGTAATATATTTTACTGACCAATTCTCAGCACAATCTTTTGACTTATTGGCATGATGAAACAGTTACTGAAATCCTTCTGGCAGTTCTGGCTGAGACATCAATCATTTCAAAGTTGCTCATAGATATAGATGTGTATGTGATTCAGGCCTGTAGCCAGGGGGATTCGTTGGCCAAAAAATCTTTCAAAATCATGCAGTTTTCACCATTTGAGCACTTTTTAAGTGATTTTGGTCATTTTTGAACCAAAATTGTCACAAGTGAACTCCCCCTGGAATTTTTCAAAAAGTGAACCCACCTTGGCAAATCCTGGCTACAGGCCTGTCATTTGTATGCAAACAGTGATATTGTAATTTTGAGTTGAGCTGTCAATAAGTCTCAGGTAGGTCCATAATCAGAATTTCCCCGAGGAGCTGTTTTTATATAATGAATTAATTTAATTTTCTAATGCTCTAGAGTTTTTAGATTGTTTGGAATCTACAAACTGAAATGATCCTTCACAATAATTAAATGCTCTAGAGTTAATAAATGCTGTGGAACCCATTATATGACACAATAATATTACTCAGTCTAAGGCACAGTTACAAAAATGCCACTAACTGAAGTGCCATTCACTCATTAAGACTGGACTAATTGACCATGTTTTTTGGAACTGTGCATAGACTGTGCTGAACAACACTGGTTTATGTCAGTAAAATAAAATGTAAATGTATTGTTTTGTAAATGTTTTGAGTTAGTTATATGTTAATGTTAATAAATGTATGTTATCAAATACAATAAGTATGTGCATTATGTCTTTTATGGTTGTGTTCACTAGAATAAATCCTCATTGAATTTCCAAAATTATAAAATCATAAAAGAAAGTCAAGATTGAGTTTTGTAAAGCTGAAAGGAGGTAGCAAAATCAGAGGAAAATAGAAAACTCTTTGAATGAACATATTCCATCAGTCATCTGAACTTTTTGAATTTTACTGAGTGGTTGAGAAGTGACTCATGCGGTTAATTCAAGGGCTTATTTAATACCCGGGCCCTAGTATGTGTACCAAACGAAGTGAAACGACATTGTCATCCAGGGCTTTGCATGTCTTCATTCCAAAGTAGTGGTTAAGGCGGTAAGATTTCTCAGACCTAGGCACATTTTTTCAGCACCGTTTTGCGGTAATTTAACTCTATTTCATTGCACACATTGTTAATTAATTGAAAGAACGACACACATTCTGGGTATTACATTCGCCCTTGGTTAATTTGGGTTCGTTTATAGATTCATAAAACAACACTGAACTGCTGTAGCAATGGCCTTCATGACTGTCAATAGATGGTGGGTGAAGGATTCAGGCTTTAAGTGTATATATTAACCCATGAAGGCATTAACATGCAAACTGTCACCACCTCCCATTTGTTACAAACATTGACAACCAAACACCAACCATCGAACTCCATCCCAAAAAAAGTTGGAGACTATAACAATATGGCACCACTTTTGGTGGTGACATAAAACTACTTAATAAAAATCTGTCAGCAGATACCTTGAAAATTCTTCTACCTTACTTTAAGCACCATAAACATTGAGCTCAAACATCCATCTTTCATCCAAAGTTTTCATGACAAGATTAATAAATGCTACCAGCCCGCTTGCCCAACATCATAAAAGAACAACAATTAAGCACTTTTTCATCGTGCGATAACAAAAAATATGTATAAGGAATTCAAATGATGAAATATCACAACCTGGTAGCAATTACATAAGCATAACAAATGTGTCAAATGCCTGACTAAACACAATCAAACACATTTTACAAAAAATGGCTACTATAACAATATATAAGTTGGCATACCTCCTGAGACGAGCACATTGTCAGCATTCATGGCCAGTGAGTTAACAATAGCATTATGGCCACTGAAGTTCTGTAGGAAATTACCATCTGGGAATTTCCACTGTTTGATGTTGTCCGGGGCACCAGATGCGAATGAGTACCTATGATAAACAAATTACAATATGGTACCAGTTTTTTATTAACTTTTTTATTATTGGGAAAAATCTTAATCTAATGAATAAATACAAAGGAATGTTAATAAGATGTATTCTTTGAGTACTTTATGTACAATTTAGAGAAATATACTCTAATTTTTCTTTTTTTTTTAAAAATCTTAATCTAATGAAGAAATACAAAGGAATGTTAATAAGATGTATTCTTTGAGTACTTTATGTACAATTTAGAGAAATATACTCTAATTTTTCTTTTTTTAGAGTACATGTATTTCTTCATTGATGGATGAAAATGGGATGGGACGAAAATTATGAAAATTCCATGACTGTTTATCTCTCAAACTTCAACAAGAACACATATTTAAAACAGAAATATCTTACTGAGTGGGATGAAGAACGACAGATCTGACGCTCTTTTTGTGATTGGTCAGTGTCACCTTAGACTTCCCTGCTGCTAGATCCCAGAGACGTATTGTGCAATCATGGCTCCCAGTAATGATCTGGAGCAAACAATAATGATAAAAAAATATTTTAACTCATTGCTGGTCAAAGCTATTTTTGAAGTTTTCTGCTGGTGACTGGCCATTTTGATAAAAAATTGATCAAAATGCCATGTTTTCATATTAGCATTTTAATGGACTGTATCAACACCCTCTTTGCTATGTTTAATACCATTGTAAACAGCAATGACAATATGATGACAATATATTTCAATTGCACCCAACGGTATTCCCCATGTGACCCCTGCAATATTTCCAAAGATTATTGGTACAAATTGTGTGACAATTATTGTAAAGCACCCCGAGATATCTCGGGGTTGGTCAGATACATTTATGACGTCATAGACGAGATATCTTGGGGTTGGTCAGATACAATTATGACGTCATAGACGAGATATCTCGGGGTTGATCAGCAATGAGTTAATATATTGGACAAGAATCAAATCTCACAGCTGCCTAATTTCTTATAAATCAATCACTTTTTACCCTTCAGGGGTTTCATTAGCAACAGGCAATTTTCATCGGTTGTTTTCACAAAATTGCCTGTTGTTTTTAGGGACTTTTCCATGTTTTATGATTTCCATTAATTTTGCCTGTTGTTTTCATTTATCTAGCCTGTTGTGAGAAATTCGAGTGAAACCCCTGCCCTTGGTAATGAACTTGGAAAAACTGGTTGCCTATTGGGCAATGGATTGAATGCCTTTGTTAAACTGGGCAATTATGTTTTTAAACTTTGTCTTGGACCCTGACGTAGCCTCAAATGTCATTTCAAAACCTATCTGACATGTCGGATGTCAATCCCCTTTTCTTTTTTCAGAATTTTACTATTCTTAACATTTCACAGATGAAATACAGTAAAGACAGATATCGGAATTCTAAAATTGAAATAGAAAGCCGGTCACATAGTTCTGTAGAGGATGTATTGCATGACACAGAGGTGATTTTAGTGAGTTTGTAATTAAAGGATGTCATGGCTATAGAGGCTTCATTCAATAGCTATAAAAGGCCTGGCTGATTTAATGCCAAATTTAATAGTTTAGTGCCAGGTTGCATTCATTCAGAGGTTCAATGTCTAAGAATTTGCTGATTACTTCAGAACGGTGTCTACAGGGCAGGGGCGGATCTGGAAGAGCCCAAATTATGAAAATTTAAAGCCCATTTTCTTGATAATTAAAATTAAAAAATAGGACATTACAAGGCCCAGTAATACCCCCCCCCCCCCCCAAGATCAGCCAGTGCAGGATGACCCAAAAAACAAAACAACCCAAAATAACAATAATATCTGTGTAATCAACCTAACTGTCAGGAACTAGAATTTATGGACTTACTTTTTGAAAAATTTGCCCATTTTTGGACTATCCATAGCAATATGAACAATAATTGTAATGTAACAATTTTAATGTTATATCATTATTATAGGAATTTCTGCATCAGTTTTATCGCCTCCCTATCCCCTCATATAAGGGAATTCAACTCAATCAACTCTTCGCTATCAAAATCATCTTTTAGCCCCTCTCGTAACAAAATCGACATCGTTCTTCAACAAGTATTGATAATCTTGGACATCATGCCTTAGCTTCTCATAAAGGTTTTGAGTTTTTAGGTTAGCCTTTGTACATACTAAGACAATTGAATCAATGTAATATAATGTTAAAACCTTGCAGAAGAATTATAAACTCATTTTAATATACGACAACGAACGTCAATACACCATACATGGAATTTCAATTTTCTACAAATAAGAAATACCTGTTCAGCTGTATATTAATTAAGGCAGTGATCTCCCCAGCATTAAAGGGTTCCGATTAGCATCCCGTATAAAAACAATATGGCGGCTCCAGGCGAATCAACTGGATCAGTCCATTTTTAAGAAATAAGGGGAGTTCTGTAAAATCCAGTTTATTGAAATTGTCTTTGAGATAAAGTAATCCATTTATAATGATTTTGAAAACGTTATCCAAAGAGTGATTGCGTTCAAATAATACATGTACAACAGCCAATATAAATTCTTGTATTAGAAACCGGTTTGTCTTGCTTTGTTTCATTTGTAGGATATTTCATATGCCAAGCTGTGTGCTATTACGTTATGGGGAAATTTAGATGCCAATTTTTCCTTATTATACACAAATAGGAGATCCTGAAACTTCACCCATAAATGTGGAATTGATTTGTCAAAATAAAAATGACCCTTTTATAAATGTGTGACGATCTATAATATACTCATGCTATATAACAGTTAGAGGTGTTGACACAACGACCTCGAACCTGTGAACCCTTGAGTATTATTCCGGGATCGGGCCTTTTATACTAAACGGTGACCAACACCAGAAACGAGCGTTCGATTTGCTAAACAATATGCGTCAGCCTTTAAAGCAAGTGGGTGTAGCACCCACCTGAGATTTGAAAAACAGGCTTGAACCCAAGTGAAAATCCATTTGCACCCATTTAAAAATGAGAAAAATCATGAAAAATGGGCATAGTTTGACCAATTTTAGTCTAAATTATGAGAATGAGAATTTTGTGCCCACTTCAGAAAAAATCTTGTGGAGAACACTGTAAGGAATCAAATGTTACCAAATTTTGTGACATGAAGCAAATAAGTGAATAAAATGAGCATTATATCCCGACACTGAAAATCATTATGTCATACATACTATGTAGAAATTCACGGAGATTGTATACTAATCTCATGTAGGAATTCACAGAGATTGTATACTGATCCCAACTGACACATTATGACACAATCGGTTATTGTCGATTCATCTAAAAGGCAGTTAGATTTGAAATAATTAGGTGTCATGTAAAACTGTGTTCAAGGCCTGTCTAACTGATGTCATGTAAATCATTATTTCAAGGATGCAGGCTAATCCAGTGATTAAATGAGGAGAAATTTTGTATTTTTTGATTTATTTTTAGAAATTATATGGAATATCATGACACCTCTGCAAGTCAAGTTATGACATATTGGCATTTTCAAGTATCTGATGAGGCTAAAAAATAGAAAACAAAGTGATATTGTTTAAAATTCAATATGTGTCTGAATAGAGATAAAGAGTGCATTTTTGTATGACTGTGGAGCAAGTGAATTTGATATGGTAGCGTAATATTTTATCTATTACAAGTAGTTTTACACAGCAGTACTGTATTTCACAAGCTAACTCAAATCATAGCTAATTTTTAGGGTTAAAATCTTGCTTGCGGCCAAAAAATCATATACAAAAATGCAGCCATAAGTCCATTTTCCCAATGAAAACCCCATTTCCCTGTTTAAGTGGATGGAAACAATGATACTCCTTAATGCCATATTAATTGAAAGGGTTAATTGATTTAAGACAAGCATTTCCTTGGCTAATGGACAAGTAGTTCAAATAATATAATAGTGATATTGAAAGAAAAATATAAGATGTACTGGATAACCCCATCATAACATAGTGATTTAATCAGTTGCCTTGTAAGCTCATAACGCAATATAAACAATTTTTATGTTTTTATGTTATATTTAAAGTTTATGTGTTAACAATTAATTGTCAAATTTTGTTAACCTTTCCAAAAAAGTAAGTCTTAAATTTTTCGCCTTTTTCATTTTACAAAATTTTAATCTTTTTTCAAGTACTGTATAACTGTATGTTATTTATTAGGGTGTGATAATTGGTTATTTGATCATTTCTAAACACCATGTTTTTATATTCTTGGCCACATATTATTGGGCATATTATATAGGGCCTTTAACCTTTAGCGTGCTGCCGGCGGACTCGTCCGCCGAGACTAAAATGTCTCTCACAACTGCCGGCGGACCCGTACGCCCGATTTCAAACTTTTAAAAACTTTACTTTTTCGCGCCGTTCGTATTGTCCAATTAGATTGCCCGATTTATTCAGTGCCTAACATGACTTCCTGTTGACCTAGAAATGGCGATATTTCGAAAAATAATTCTCAATTCAACAATTTAAACAGTGTTTTAGTCGTTTTTAGTGAACGAATCGTACAAAATGGTGGACAAATACGATCACAACGAAAATGTGGAGGAAGTGGATTACGATTTCGAGCTCTTTAGGCTCTTGGAAGCCGATAACGGTCATCGAAAATAGAAACTAGAATATTTTCTGAATTGAAAAATTGAACATTCGATCGCTGCAAATTCAGATTTGGATTCTGACCAGACGAAGAGGCGGAGCGGCGGATTCCGGAGGAGTATTCATGGTATATTTATGCCCAGTCGTGTTAATGTACGAAAAAATTCATGAGAACATTTTTTTCATGAGCCAGGCCACTGTATCTTCCCTTTGTGAAAATTTTATCCAGATTCATTCAGTAGTTATTGAGATATTAATTATTTAGTCCAGGCATATCATTTTTTGCACTCTTTGAAAAATAAGCCAGTTGCGTGGGATATATTTGCTGAAATAAGGCAGCATGGTAAAGGTTAAACACAAGTTATATGATAAACAATAATGCAACCTCATACTACAAGAGGTAATGCTTAACTTAAATCCCACAAATTTAGCAAAATAAGCAAATTAGAAAATAGATCCTTATTTGTAACTTATTGCTAATTCTAAACTGGTCACAGGTTGAACGATAATCATACCTTAAACCAGATTGAATTCCTCAACATGAAACCAGCATGCTCAAAAATTAATCAATTCTAGATTTACATTCAAAAAACATCCTTGAAAATCTCAAATCAATTCATTTAGCGATTGTCTAGACATATTAGTTTTCTGCGTGAAAAAAATTAAAGTACTTCTGTAAAAAATTCTGCAAGAAAAATGGGATATTCTGCAAGGGGAAAAATTAGAAAAAAACAGAAAACTAGTATCTATGAGTGTCTGAAAATACGAAGAAATTAAAATACAAAGAAAAAAATGAAATCACATCATCTACCTGACTAACAACATGGTAACAATACCTTTAGGTATGGCAAAAAGTATCTTCGAATTTTGTTGAGAAAAATCACCGATCATAAAACTGATAGATATGAGTTTCTTTGGTTCAGAAAGAGGGCAGGTGCTCGAATCCTTAATATGAACAGAAACGAATAAAGAGTGTATACTAGTATGTCTTACCTGAGGCTCTGCTGCCTGGCATTTCACAGATGCTACTGTGTTAGTGTGTCCCGTCAATGTATGAATGCATGCCTTCGTTCTCATGTCCCATACCTGTAAAATAGTTACTACAGTAAATATGAAAAAAAATTCTACAATAAGGCAATAATCAAAAAATAAATAAGGTAATATTTGACAGGTATTTAGGTCCTATAGTGTTTTATAGCAATTTTGCTTTAATAAATCCAGAGTCCAACTGGAAAGACAGCAACTCTATGGAGTAGCAAATCCCAGGGCACAAAACATATTTTATCAAATTGCTCCTCATTCTAAAAATTATATGATAGATCATAGAAATAACAAGGTGGTAGTATTGAATTGTAGAAACACTCATGCTAACGTCTATATGCTACGGAGGAGTCACTTACCCTTGCTGTGGCGTCACGCCCACATGAGACAAGGACGTCAATGGTTGGATGCAATGCCAGATCATGACAAGCACTCAGGTGACCATGGTAATGCCTGATCACTTTGTTGTATTCAAGGTCCCAACATTTGACCTGTAAAAAGAAAAATCATAAATAACATGGTAATTCACTTACTGTATTTCCCTATTTGATATTCAAACATGACTGTATTCACACCTTCTATAAACTGTGAACAATGTCAATATTTCACCTGGTTTTTATTCTTCGACACAATACCTGGTCTGTACTAAGTGTTTTTGTTCAGTGCTAAATCGGAAGTATGAAATGAAGTGAAGATTTTGCAAAGTTTTCATGTTCAAATTGTAATAAAGACCTCAGATCAGGTATCATATCGACTTATAAAAAATACCTTAGGGCTAGGCACAAAAGCTTTCGGTCATTTGGGGGCATAGAAAACATTTGTGCTTAGCCCTGCTGAATTAACTCAATATATCAGTGCAAACAATTTGGTTGTTTATGTAATGAATTACTTCAGATCTTCAATATTTGCTTGTAGAGGGTGTCATGGGACAAAAAGTAGGAATGAGATATTATATATGAATTGAGCATTATTGAATAGGATGGTGCATAAACCATTAATAAAGTGAATATATTATTCACATTATTTTTTGGTTTCATGGAATTACTTGATATAGATGGCGCTAACACTAGCATCCTATAAACAAGGGGAAATGTGAGAAAACTTAGAAGAGCATACCTGTATGTAACTATAACAACACATTGTTTTAATTTTGAACTACATGTATTTGTCTATTACCAAAATCATTTCTTTCTTAACTTGTTACAATTAATTGAACCCTGAATTAACAATTTGGCACTCCATACCTGCTTATCTTCCCCACAGCTAAAGAGATAAGGTTGTCGTGCAGATACAGCGAGACCACGTACAGCACTAATATGTCCTGTCAAAGACAGCTTTAAGGTTCCAGTTGCAAGATCCCAGATCTGTAACATAATAGGTTCAAATTTGAAAATGTCAAAAATAAAAGTTCAAATTCTAAATTTCTTTTATAAAAACAGATGATCTTGAAATATTGATATCACCCTTGTGAAATTCCCCATATCAAATCCCTCTGGGTGATCGTGAATAACTACTTTATGCATATTTTGAGCTGTAAATGGATGAACATTCAAAAGCACATAAACTTAATGAACCTTCTGGGCCCAACCCAAGTAAACACTTTGAACCATACCCAACTGAACATTTTGGATCCCACCAAAATGAACATTTTGGATCTAATCCCAACCCAACTGAACATTTTGGATCCCACCAAAATGAACATTTTGGATCTAATTCATCTGAACATTCTTGAACCAACCCAACTGAACACTTTGAACCAAACCCAACTGAACACTTTGAACCAAACCCAACTGAACATTCTGGGCCAAACCCATCTGAACACCCAGGACCCAAGCTCAACCCATATCATCCTGATTGCATCCACCCCCTCTCAGATAATACTGTTTATAACATACCTTGATAACCCTGTCTCCAGATCCTGTAGCAAACCATTCATTACCAGGTTCAACAGCAATACACCTTACCCATCCTAAATGTCCACTTAGCACCTAGAGTACATAAATAAAATGTACATTTCTATATACACTGTACAAAGAAAGACACAGACTTAAAAATACAAGTATGAGGAAGGTCTAGATTATATCCTATATAATGTACATGAAGTTGGGTCAGATGAGGAAGGTCTAGATTATAGCCTATATAATGTACATGAAGTTGGGTCAGATGAGGAAGGTCTAGATTATAGCCTATATAATGTACATGAAGTTGAATCAGATGAGGAAGGTCTAGATTATAGCCTATATAATGTACATGAAGTTGGGTCAGATGAGGAAGGTCTAGATTATAGCCTATATAATATACATGAAGTTGAGTCAGATGAGGAAGGTCTAGATTATAGCCTATATAATGTACATGAAGTTGGGTCAGAGGAGTCATGAGGAAGGTCTAGATTATAGCCTATATAATGTACATGAAGTTGGGTCAGATGAGGAAGGTCTAGATTATAGCCTATATAATGTACATGAAGTTGGGTCAGATGAGGAGGGTCTAGATTATAGCCTATATAATGTACATGAAGTTGGGTCAGATGATTACATCAAATGAGATCATTAAGATTCACTGTTATCAAAACTTATTGTATATATGGGTGATGATGAATTCTTTTATAATTATCAATTGTATTTTAATTATAATGTTAGTTGGGATGTCTACTCTGATGGAAGTTGGAGGCAGCTGAGGAAACCTCTACATTTCCACAGCTAATGTGTATGGCGCAACAGCATGTAGTCCATCTAAGCATGTTTATCATAATATGTAACAAATGCTTTATAAATTGAATAGAACCCTTACCCTGTATAGCTTCCAAGGGGCGTGCCATGTGGGTTTTGGCATTGTTGGGGCCTTCTTGGGAACCAATGACATGTCCTTTCCAGGGTTTACAGCTACTAAAGCCTGAAAATGTTATGTAAATTGGTTTTATATAATGTTATCCAACTAAATATGTAAATGTACAACATAAGATACATATTTCAAATAAAGTAGATATATTTGAATCACAGTTTTATTACACAATCAGTAGAGCATTTGTAAATATGTTTAGAATTGGTGAAGATGATACTACAGCAATAGTTTTAAATAATAAAGAAATATTTACTCAAAGGGAAATGCTTTGTAAAACTATAAATGTACTTAAAATCAATTATTTGTGGTATACAAGGACCTTATTTATTTTGCAATTTAAACAAATGAGAGAGATGCTAAGTTTACTAAATACGAAGGTTTCATTAAAATTTCAAACACCAAGCCAAATGCATAAAAACAGCAGGCAAAATTACCGGAAAATGTATTTTCAACATGAAAATAGTTGCCAAATTCCTATAAACAATAGGCAACTTTGGTTAAAAAACTGGATAAATCGTCAAATTTTGGTTCCTGCTCATTAAACTCCTTAGAGCAACATGCCTTTTACTCACCCTTGATGATGGGTTGTTCTCTTGTAGAATTTCAGGTTCTCCCTCCAATCTGAAGATAAATTCAGAGTTTTAATAATTGGATTGTTGCTTTATGACAAAAATATAATGTTCTTTTGAGTCTTTTATGGTTCGATGGTCTAAGCATTCTTTTATAAAAGATGGCTGTTAATTTTAGAATATAAAGGCAGAACACTTAAAGCTAGAAAACAGCAACTCCAAAAAGTTGCATGTCCAACCCAACAAAACATGTATTATCAAATATCTTGTCATTTTGGACATTACATGATAGAAATTTATCTTATCAAGTTAAACTAATGAAACAGATACACTGATCAATTTTATAGTTGAGTAAAATCTATTCATAGCATCATAGGGAATAACAATCTATGTGCTTATGGTCAAATGGTAAGTGTTGTCAAGGTGACAATCCATGATGCTGACTGACAGACACAGAAGTTTCAACCTGACCCATGCAAAAAGTTCCCTTGAAAATATATTCTTTGAAGTCATTTCATATCTTTTAGGTGATATAGTATAAAATATTTTGCAATGTGTGAAAAGAATTTAAGCTCAAGACTCGATGTATTGTGGCTGATTCATTCCACTCAGGCATCGTTTCCTTTGAAAACAACACCTTCAAGAGGAATGATCCAGCACACAATGCACTGAGTCCAGGGCTTAAATCCTTTAACCTTTAATCCTTAAATCCTTTTACCTTTCTTTGGTATTGAGATACCTAGAAAAAATATCAGGTTAAGTTCAAACCCTGAACTTGAGGAACTTTTGATGCTTTGTCAATACATTAAAAATTTGACTTTGAAGTTTTACGATTCTTCATTTACAATGTTCTTAACTTTCAATATCCAGAAACACTTTACAATTTGGCTTCATTTGATAAAGGATGCGTTGTCCAGGGGATGAGTTGTCAAGGGGAGGAGCTGTCCAGGGGATGAGTTGTCCAGGGGATGAGATGTCCAGGGGATGAGTTGTCTAGGGGATGAGTTGTCTGTAAGCCCTCTATTATAGCAGACCATTTTGTTCTGAATATGCTGGACATTTAAACCAAACACATTAGGACTGATTCTTAATAGCTTCACCCAGGTTCAAATCTATGAGCCTTTAAAGTTTAATATGTTCTATCTAAAATACTGTAAAACTGAAACTAAAATGGCGTTCATTTTGAAACTAGTGGCCATTTTGAAAATCAGCTTTCGACAGAACTTCTTTACACATGGGGCAAATATGTATATAAAATACAAATGATATCGAGCCAACGGGCCAACAGTATTTGAGTTATTGTCCTGATGGACAAATGGACGGAGCCGTTCTCTATATCCCCTGAACTTCGTTCGATGGGAAGGATTTATCATTACATGTCTACTGATTTTTTGGATATCTCCAGTATGGTACAATAAATCAAATATAGTAAAACCTGTGAAATTGGTACCTGAAAATAGTGTTTCACATTGATGGCCTTCCATGTATAGATGTTCGTTTTACATTAAGCTCAAGATGAAAAACAGAACTTTGAAGTATTCCATTTATTGAGGAGAACCATTTACAGAGGTGTTCCACCTTACATGTTTTACTGTATAATAAAAATCTGAATACATACCTGGATATGACTGATCTATCATAGTCTGCAGTCTCTCCTATTGAAAAAAAAGAGATACATCAAATTAGAAAATTATGACACTATCCCGGGGTATAATACAGTGAACATAAACAAAAGTGCCAATTAATATTTTGGCCTACAAGTATGGAAACTACACATGCAGTAAGTGATATCACTTGTGTAATTTTGCAAACACAAATTGCTTCATGGGTATGCTATATCGTATTTTAAGGCATATAACCCAGGACAGAGACCTAACATACTGGTACACATAAACTACCACTTTATATTTCCATTTTCCACCTAACTTCAGTACCATATCGATATGAGATTTAAATAAAATGTGACAAACTGAATGCAATTTCAAAAATGTAACAACTGTTACAGAATGATGCAAATTCTGACATTGACGCCGCATGCTCGTCACAAGAAGGTGGATATAATAATATGTCACAATTTCAATGCTCAGCACAATATGTTTGTATGTTGGATATAATAATATGTCGCAATTTCAATGGGCATCATAACATGTTTGTATTAAGCCATAAATCGAAGAATCAAGGAACTTATTATTCTGTAACAAAATTAGTGAAAAAAACAATTTACCTTCCTTCCCTTCTTCTCTCTTCTTTTGCTGGGCTGAAAAAAGGAAATAACACTGGTTATTACTATAACAAAAATGTATTTGCTTCTCTTCAAAAATTTGCACTAGAAACTACATGTACTATTAAAGTACAATTTTCGTGGACCTCGAAGGATTGGACCAAACAGAAAAGAATGCCAAGATGCAAGTTCAGTGTTGTCACAATAATAGGGTATAGGAAAAATTTACATTGTTCCTAGTTGTGAAAAGTTTTTGAAAAGTTCGCAGAATCTTACATTGCTGTCTACAGCCAAAAAAGAAAAAACTGATTTGGGTATAAATATTTGTCAAAATTTGAAGAGATCTAAAAATCAATTTGAAATGGAAAATTAGGCGAATTACAATTATTATAATTTTGGACTGTTATTTTTAGGTCACCCTGTATAAATTAGATAGCATCAATAAATACCTCGCCATGCTTCTTGACTTGGCCCCCTGCTGGCCTTTCTTCTCTCCTCTTGTTCTGTGAGATCTTTTACCAGACCATATTCGTCTCTTATCTTTACCGCCAATTTGGTAGCAAGCCTATAAAATGAATTATCAGTACAGTAACTGCTAATTGCATTAATGTACTTATCATTTTTAAAGGGGCAACAAGGACTGTAGAGAAAATTTGATTTTTTTATTTTTTCTGAGCTATCAGGTCAATATTTAGCTTAAAATCTTTGTTTACATACCTATTTTCTTAAAATGTATGGATAAACTCTCAATTTCAGCATTAAGAAGTGTAAATTCAGTAAAAAGCTTCTTTAAAGGAGTCCCACTTATATTGATTTTTATGATCCACCATGTTTCAAGAGGAATATCAGCTGAAATAATGTTCATCCAGGTGGTTTCTTTGTTGATAATAAAAATATATGTTAGTCTTGATGAAATATCCATTTACTTAAATATATTTTGACACTGGTTGTTGCACCTTTAATGTATCTAATTTTTAATTCACAGATTTATGTCCATGAGAAATCAAAAACAAAAGTTGTATATTTGAAATTAATGTTGTCACAATAACTAGAAAAATTGGTTTCTTGGGCAATAACAGGGCATGAATGAAGAGTAAATAGCATTATAGACTCGTAAATGTACATACTTTTATCATATTAGAATTGTAACAAAGACCTTGATTTAATTATTCATGGCAAACATATGACAACAGATTTTATTTTAGACATTGCCTGAGACCTCAATGCCCATGTAATTTCAGACTTAACAATAAACAGAATAAAATCTTTGACCACAATTGATAGAATGATAGAATTTAGGTCTTTGTACCTAAAATAATACAATGACAATTGATATTGCAAGATGCAACTAAATGTTCTACACTTACGCCCTTTCATCTACTGGTGGTGCTGTGCCTTGATCGGCCAGGAACATGTCATGGGTACGCTTCAGCGATCTGAACACCAATGTATGCACGGAATGTTTCTGAACTTCCTGGAACCAAATTAAGAAGTAAGATTTGAGAACAACAAGGTTTAACCTTGCATGCTTACAGAGTTGTAGTATCATGTCAAAATGTTATTAAGACTAGATACATCTTGCAAATAAAAATAATTAAGAATTCAAAATTCAGTGATTACATATTTGAAATCTACATGTCAAATTACATCTATAAATGTGATTTTAAAAAGTGTTTATCAACTTTGAAAATTTAATTTTCTTTGAAAATATGACTTCTAAGATGGGGAGATTCCCCATAAGCCCCGCGTTATAAAATCACAAAAAGTGAAATACCATTTCTTAGGTGTCATGATACTTAACAGGAAATGACAAAACAGGAAGAGATAAAACCATGCTTGACTTCAAACATTTTTTGAACCAAGATATGTTAAAAAGGCAAGAACTTAACTTCGACACATCCATGTTACCTGATGAATGGGACCCTCACGTGCCTTCCAAATGGTAGTAAACGAACTCCAATGTAACTACATCAGCTTATCTTTCCGTCCGATCAACAATAAGTACAGTTATACAAGAAATGTAAACTAACTGAAAAAATTCCCAAAAATGTTCCGACTGGCTTGTTATTTCCAGAAGTTATGATACATCATATTACCGAACATGTGTGAAAATGAAATGTTTGTTCGTTCATTTTAAGAGAGCTAAATAAAATGTGAATATCAGAGCATCGAACAAACATTTCATTTTCACACATGTTGGTAATATAACGTATCAGAACTTCCGGAAATGACAATTTTTTCAGTTCGATTACATTTTTTGTATAACTATACTTATTGTTGATCAGACGGAAAGATAAGCTGATGTAGTTATATTGGAGTTCGTTTACTACCATTTGGAAGGCACGTGAGGGTCCCATTCATCAGGAAACACTCAAATGTCGAAGTTAAGTTCTTGCCTTTTTTAACACGCAACAAGGAGTAGTTCAAAAAAAGTTTGAAATCCAGAATGGGTTTGTCACTTCCTGTTTTGTCATTTCCTGTTAACTACCATGGCACCATTTTCTTTAACTGAACATATTTTAATTTGTATAACAATCAAATATATAATAGAAATATGAAAATTGAACGACTAAAACTGATCTCTTGAAAGCCCATGAATAGACTAATAAGCCACTTCGTGGTGAAAGTGGTAACAACCTACTCGCATCTGGGTTATTCTACTCTATATTTCATCGTAAGTGCAATCGTTCATGCTTTATAATATCATTTCAATACACAATCTAGCACTAGTCTAGACTATAGGCCGGCTGTGTTGCGATGTAAAATAATATGACATCCTTGTATTGAAAATTTTCGATTGCTCTAAACCAAAAGATTAACTAACTCCCCATGTATAATAAGAGTATTCTATTCCTTCTTGTATTTCTAACGTTTAAAAAACGTAGAGCAAGATTTTGAAGAAAAGAAAAGGCAAAAAATTATTTGATCAGATCATCTTTATCTTACCTCCATTTTTAACTATACCACCAATGATCGCTTTGGAATTCGGCACAGCTAATGTCTGGTATATGCAGCGACTAATTATGTGTTTGAAGTTTACTATAGCATCTTATTTATCCCGGATTTTGTTCCTAAAAATGATAAATTTTGAAAACCATGTTTCAAAAGTCTACCGGATTACACTAATACTCCACACGGGGTTTCTATTTTTCAATCCTAACAGGAAATACAAACTATGTTGTCTATGATAAAGACGCACTTCTAAATGGAGAATATTATCAATATTGTACATCACGGGGCATTTTGTTACTTGTTGGCATATTTGGCTGAGTGGTCCATCCAGTGCTTTCCCAGATTTTTAAACTGCAGGGCATTTTCTGTTAGTAACACTACAGGCTACAGTGGCGTAGGAACAATGTACGCCAAAACGCCAGTGCGTAGTGTTGAAAAGTGAGAATAAAAAAGACTTTTTAACTTTCCTATGTTCTTTAGTCATATTTTCTCATTGTATTGTGCAAAAGTAATCTCGAGCACACTAGCCTAAAGAAATGTTTTGTGGATACCATATCATTATTGGTCTGTCTGGCAAACATCATTTAACAGATTGAATTCCCTTACCAACATGCTTTATTTCATGAAAATCGAGCCACTATTGACTGTCTTATAAATACAATTTCGCCAAATATTCGTGAATCGCGTTCTCTTCACGAATTTGAGAGGAAAACTGTTTTTTTTTCAAAAACTACTTGATGAATACCTTTGACATTTTTTCTGCATTTTCCGTAATGCTTATGCTAACTATGGTATCATATAATTATAATGATGAACCTCTTTAAATTTAGATGTATATTTTTTTATTCTTCCCTACCCCAATTTTTCAATTTCACTATCGATTTATATTCCGTTGCTATGCAAAATCATAGACACGAAATTATAGTTAAGTCAACAATTATCTATCTTCTTACTAAATCACTAATTGTTATTGGTAGTACTTTTTGAAATATGGATGTTAAAGACAAAAACAACTTGAAAATGCGGCTGATTATTCAATTACATGTTCCATTGGTTTCAGTTCTAGAAAAGCGATTACCTAGTTTTTTTTTCATTTGAAAAATAATAGATTCTTGTTTTATAACATTTTTTGGCATCCCCTAAGTCACGTTGAACTCGATTTGACCTTTGTGGTAAGTGTGTTTATTTGTTTCATTGATCACGAATGCGTTTCTTTATATCAATTGATCAAACTAGTTTCTTTAATCTGTACGTATTGTATTGCACGGTACACGATGGAATCCGACAATACTATATATCTTAATTCAATTATTCGAAAATGATTAAAATATCTCTAATTGTTTTTTTGAAATTGGTCGTTTCAATCGTTCGAAACATTAGCAAAGTGAGAATGATTTGTGTCGAGATTTAAAAGATAGGCTTTCCAAGGTGATTTTAAATGATGAAAATCATTCGAACATTTTAAAGCACATTAAAAAGGTATCAGGGATTTAAAGCTTGCATATGAAATCGAAACGCCAACCTATACGTATGACCAATCGCCCATACAAATGCATCGCTTAAGTATTTCCGTTCACATTTAGGTTGGTGAATATTGGAAGCTTAAAATCTCTGTTACCATAAAATGACGTTTTACGAGCATGCATAATATAGGCGTTTTGATATAGAATATTGACACAATTGTTTCATATTTTTTGGCGGGATTTTTGGCGTAGTGTTGAATTTACACCTTCCTACGCCCCTGGGCTACCACGTCCCTGAGGTTACATATTTTATTTTGCAAGAACCATTCATTTACCTAAAGTCAGATTCATAATGCCATTGAGTACTTTGAATCCGAGCATAACCAAAGGACCATAGTGAAACAGTATATGAAAAATAGAAACAATAATACAAGGCCAACTTTTATATATTTTGGTTTGTTTTGTAGTTCGTGGCTATCATACTCCCTAAACTACAAAAGGCCACTGCTTAGCTGCATACCTGACATATACAAAAGTTAGGCCCTGTTAATATGTTTCTGTTTTTCCATATACTGTTGTGAATATAGTCATTTGATTGCTTATTTTTTAAATTCAAAGTACTCAATAGGATTATTTTGAATCAGACTTTAGAACTGGAGGTTGAATGCCAATGCAAGAACCAACCAAGAAAGAGAAGAAATTAAATATTTAATCAGTAGGTGGACGAGATCATGGATATTGGAGGGCCTTGATTGAAGGGCCAGTTGGATGGTTTAATTTTTCAATAACTTTGTGTGAATTATCAAATTAATTCTGGCAAATTCTTGATATCTCTTGGCAAAATGAGAATTTCAATAAATGTGCCATCTGTAAATATTGGTAGTTTTCTATAGTTTCATAGAGATTTTGTGTATCTAATCAATTTATAATAATGATAAATTTAGTATATTATAATTTATTTATAAATTAAATATCGCCTTCTTGACAATGGAACTGAAATTCTTCTGGATAAAACCAGAACAGCTGTATGGTTATTTCAACCCCTGTGTGGAGATCGACCAAAAAGTATTTGGCGCTATGAATTGTGGGTATGTTGGCAAGGAAAATTATGGCGGACGTTGAAAAGTTAAAACATTAACTAAATTCATGATTTATCACATGTTAACCATTACAAAACCCGTTATGATATTATGCTTACGTAAACTAATAAAGCAAAGCTGTATATAATTAACTATTGAAAGAGGAAGAGCCTGACAAAGGGAAGAAAAAGTCCAAAACATCGTAAGTTTTATTTTTATTTTTCTGCGCTGAGTTTGATCAGTTCCCGGGGATATCTCATGACATATTTATTACAGTTACAGATAATTAATTAGGATCAATACTATTTGATATTGTCACTGTAGTCTCGTGAAATGAAAACTTTAAACCACAGACTCACATGACAGAAAATCCATGTTTTAATTTAGCCAAGGCATCGGGATAACCTCCGGCATACATGTGGGGTTGATTCCGGGGGTTGATTTTTCAATCACCGATGATTTGAAAAAGCAACCCTACATTTATGGGGGTAGCTTAGGCCTAACCTCACACAAGCACACAGGAAGTCACCCCAGTGACGTAACCACCACGTACACTGAGGAGTGAAAGTTGTCATTTATTACTTACTTCGAGAACGTGGAAATGGACAGCTGAATAATAGTGACCTTTGAAACACGAATTGAGTCGATCGGCGTCGATCAGCGGCTTATTTTTGTTCTCTAACTATGTCATACATCATTATCATCCTTCTGTGCAAGTATTGGAGCGCTGAAGTACTTCCTTTGCGATCAAGAATTGTAATTGTTAGTCAAGTGAATGTTTTTTCTGCCAAATTCCAATATGGCGTTGTCTGCTCGGACATTTTCGTAAATCTCCGTAGGTTGTCCGAACCTAACTCATTCCCAAAATTCATTTCGTTCGTTGCGTATCTTGCTCCTAGCAAACTGCCATATTGGAAATGGGTCAAAAAACATTCACTCGATGAACATTTTACAAGTCTTGATCGAAAAAGAAGTACTTCAGCGCTCCAATACTTGCACGGATTGATGATACCGATGGAAGACACAGTTAGAGACCAAAAGTAAGCCGCTGATCGACGCTAATCGAGTTAATTCGTGTTTCATAAAAAAAATGCTCAGATAGCATCAAATGACATCTTCAAAAAAATTCTGGGGAGCATACCCACGGACTCCACAATCAGACATACCCAAGTGGGTGTATGTACTGGTAACTGGTCAACTCGTACCCAAGACAAGTCGTACCCAAGACAACTCGTAAAAACTGGAAACCCTTACACCATTTTCATAATATGCTTATTATTTTAAGAAATAACTTTGCACATTTGTACATCACTCAATTTCCTACCAGCCTACCATATTACATGACCATCTGATTGATAGTCAACATGTTACAGCACTTTAAAGAACATTCCCAGTGGCCACTATTGCGCTGAAGACCAACCTGCACATGACGTCCAAAATGTCCTTCCCTATGGGCTATGGCAGAGATAAAGTGTATAATAATGACCCCAGGACAATTGCAGACCTCAAAAGAGAGATTATCTGTATCATTCAGGCCATACCTGCTGAGGAATGCATTTGAATCATTGACAGCTGTGCAGGTTTGCCTCCAGCGCGATGATGGCCAAACCTGAAGCATGTTGTTCAAAGTGCTGTAAAATTGTGACTATCAGTCTGATGGTCATGAAATATAGTAGGGTGGTGGGAAATTGAATGATTTACAAATGTGTGAAATATCAGGGAGTAATTTCTTAAAGTGACAAAGATATGAGGAAAATGCAGGGTTTCCATTTTTTTTGACCACCCTGTACAATAAAATGCTATAAAAAGTAGCACAGCATTAATGGAGATAACAAATATGCCATTTTGAATTATAATTTACATGTAAACAAATATGTTTGTACACCAACATTACAACAGCCATAGTTTGAATATTTCTTACAAAATTTCAAAAATTGTCAAACTCAGGGGTTTCACTTGAATTTCTCACAACTGGCTAAATAAATGAAAACAACAGGCAAAATTATATGGAAAATCATAAAAAATAGAAAAGTCCCTAAAAACAACAGCGATTTTGTGAATACAACCTGTGATTTTTTGGGTTTGCATCACTGTGAGCAAGTCCTGGGGTACAGGGCATGTTGAGTAAGTCACCCCTCCCTCTTATAGTCTCTGTATTTTAACAGAGAATATTAGAGAGGGGGTGACTAACTTACCATGGTAGGGGGGTTCACATAGTATCTATTCAACAGACTGACTGGAAGCTTAGAAATCATTTAACATGCATATTAATGAAAATCTTTGATTTCCCTCAAATTTGCTGTACTAAATAATAAAACCTGTCTTATCTGAAATTGGGACCAGCCAAAAGTGTTTGAAATTAGCATTTCAAGCGTTTTTCAATATGTAGGCCAATGAAAGATAACAATTATAGGACCAATAAGTGTTCACATTGAGAAGTGTTCAGTTTAGAGAGGTGTTCGAATATACTTGTTTTACTGAACTATCAATAAATGGCCCATGGTTGATATTGTGAGTAAGCCTAAAATGATAATTTTCAGTGTTTAAGCTGTATTTTATAGGTTTGAAAGTTTCATTTTTTTATGACTTACCATTCCAAATATTTGAATGGCAGATTTTGACTTATCTTCGATTTTAATATCATATCATGTACCATTTCATCTATAGATATGCCACAGTTAAAGTTTTCATCCACAGAGTTGCTTATTTTTCCAATTAAGTTCTCGCATTCACAAACTTTAACTGGTATAGAAAGTACTGATTTAGTTTCTGTAGGTAATGTTTCAGAGTGGAATGTTAATGGTTTGATGTTTGAAAGAAAATATCAAGTTTTGAGGTATAGCTGGTTAGTGATTACCTTGTTTCATATCAATTAACAACATTTATATCTCAGATAACAAGCTGCATATTTGTTTTGACTCGCAATAAGGCTTGGTACAGATATGGCTATTCTAGGTATGAATACTTGTTGGTAGTTACTATAGTACATGTATACATGTATAACTGGAACAACATGGAACAAACATTTTCATTATTCTGAAACAAATTTCAGCTAAAATATTCAGTTTTCAATATGTTTTAAATAATTATCCCTACTAGATTATTTTCAAATTTTGTCTGAATTTTTGCTTGATTGCTTCAATGTTGATGAAATTGACCAGAAGATCTAAATATGTTTTGATCAATATGAAATGCTTCTCCAGTATGAACCCTCCTTCCTCATATAAGGATAAAATTACAAGAGAATAAGAAGGAAAATACCCAAAAGGTTCAAGAGAAACATGAGAAATCTCTACTTGTTTTAAGTGAGAAAAGTTGTAAAGCTGGAATGCCTTTAAGAATCAGGTTACCCTTGTCAAGCTTTCTACTTCATTATCCATAAATATACTCTTAAAATGAGAGATCATACTTTTATATACATGATGTAAAACCAATCAGACTATGTCATCGGAAAGTAACAATGTCACATACCTGTGGGTCGCTAAATTTCATTTCACATTCAAACTCCCATAAGAGTCCCAAATGAGATCGATAAGATCTTATCAATATCAAAACTTTGAACTATTCTGTTATGGTTAGAGGGCGTATAGAAAGATGTTAGGTATCAAGGGTATGTTCAGGTTTAATTTGTTACAGACTGAAGTAGATGAGAGCCAGGATAACATGAGAATAAGTAGCACTTCAAATTGTTCTTGTCTCTCAAGGACCTTCAGGCCAAGCAAAACTCAAAATGGACAAATAGTTATACATGTATACAAACAAGCTGAAAAATATTAATATTTTGTCAATATGTTTCTGGCTTATATGCTAGACTGTAAAGCAGACTGGTTCTTTGTTCTAGAAGTTGTCAATCCTCACTCTCGCAACTTTTTCATAATTGTGTCATCAGCAACGCAGATTTTTGACATTTTGTGACATTTCATGCTTTGTGTAACACATGCTATGTGGTGAATTTGGGAAAAACCAATGCATCTTTCAAGATCAATTTGTAGCAAGCAGTTCTACTTTTGTAAATTTTCTAAATCTGAATTTTAGACAAACTTTTTTTTAAAGACATGAATGATGATGAGATTTAAATTATTGAACTGATTAAGAATGCATTTTTGTGGCCTTTTCTTTAGAATCAATAATTGATCTTATGTCATATATCCAGCACTTGAAAAGTAACAAAGTTGGAAAGGATATTAAATTGTGAACAAGTGGGTACCTTATCTCTACAGCTAGCACTAGCTGGTATTCTGTTTGTTTAAATGACTTTTTTGAGGTTATACTAAACTAGATAATACTGAAAAATAGCTTAGAATAAGGAAATCATGCCAGGATTTCTCTGTTACATCTTTTGTAAAGCTGCTGCTGAAATGTTTAGCTGTGATCTGCTAAGCTTTAAATCAAGCAGGTGTTTACAAAATTGTGAACATTTTATTATATCCAGTTTGAAATACAGTAATACCTGTCTTATTTGAATACCACTGGGACCAGTCAAGTGCTTGGATTCGTAGCTGTGTTCACATTTCTGTTTCTTAACATATGAATCAATGATTGGAACTAATATCGGGACCAAGAAAAGGTGATCATATTGAAAAGTGTTCAGATTAGAGAGGTATTTGGATATAAACAGGTTTTGACTCTATATTCTTGCTTGATTTTTGACATTCTTAGTCAAACTAGGTGAAATTAGAATTTTGGAGAGACCATTTGACAAAAAATCTTGATAGTCAGATGAAATGACAAACATTGAATTGATAAAATTAGGGGTAAATTAAATCTCAATCCCCTGTGTGTGAAGATTGAAAATGTAATGAAACATAATGATAGGGAGGTGGAGGTGATAAGTGGAACAAAAACTAGGTCAGGGTAACTTACCATTACCAAATATAGGTCATCGAATTTGGAAATTTCCACTCTTCCAAATTCATACTAATCTTAATCCCACAGGTTCTAGGCATTCCATCAAAATAATATTCCATCAGATCAAGTTATATGCAACTACAAGGTGATTGAAAAAGATGCGACCCATCTCTTTTAATTAACTTTTTATCACACCTTTGGGTGCTATATTATGATCAGTTTTTTTTAATTCAACCAGTCATCTCATCTTTGGGTGGTCCAGTCTGAATAAAGGGGAGACTGTGATAAACTTGGTAATATGTACAATAATTCAATTCTAGCCTGTGAATGCCTCTGAACTTTAGATTTTGAACATATTTTCCAAAATGTCTTATACAGGTAAAGATTAAAAGGTGGATTGGATCGAGTGGATTGGATTCATGTAAAAGGTGGATTGGATCGGGATTCTTCAAAATATGGATTTTCCTTAAAAAAATTACATTGATCTCCCATCAGACGATTAATGCTCTCCTCACTTCCACAATGTCAAATAATAGAAATTATATTATTTTGCTTGGGTAGGCTGGAAAGGTGATCTGATACACAATCTTATTCATTCCAAGGGTAATTTTAGACATTTCACAAATCATAAGGCAGACTTTTGAAGTCGAAGATCCATATCATCTGTTTTCAATTCAAACAGAACATGGCAAAATGTCTTGGGAACACCCACACGTCAATTTGAATGACAGCTCTTATCTACAGATCTTTGTTTATTATGTCTTTCTAATGTTGATTTACAAGGGAGAGCAGTTGAATACTTTAGAGTATCTATCAACTAATTGAAGATGTATTTGTCATTGCTTTGTCCATTCCTTAAAGGGACCCATGTAATCACAAAATACTTTAGGCCGGAGGAAATTGCTTAGAGGGAGATCAACTAAAAAATCCATATTTTGAAGATTCCCGATCCAATCCACCTTTTACATGAATCCAATCCACTCGATCCAATCCACCTTTTAATCTCTACCCTTATACAAGCTATTTTTGTTACTCTTTCTCAATACCTAAAATCATCTTGATTTTGACAGAGTTATTTGCGGAAAGAAAAGTTGCATTTATATTGATCACCCTGTAGTTATTAGCAAGTGAAGACTGCACTTTAATTTTTGGCAGGTCGTGATGACATAGAAGTAGAAGTCCTGTAACTAGACAAGTATCTGTGTCATGATAAGAGAAATATTTTCCATGTGTTCAGTTCGGATTTAAAAATATATCAGTTTCCCACTGTGATCCGATAAGCTGTTCCATAATATTGAAAAAAACACATTGGTAGAACAGTTTGCCAGTTTCAGGAAACACACTACTGTATTACGGTAAATAAATTTTATTTTCTCATTTTTCTTTTTGATTTTTAACATTCGTTTTTAATCTTTTGGGAGACTGATTCAATAGAGTTGTTCCAAATAAATTTTATTTTCTCGTTTTCTCAGTGTTTGACATGGCAGTTGTGTTTTGGTTATGACTGTTGGTATTCAGCATCTGTAACAAATGGCAGGTAGTGACATATTGCATGCTCTTTTAGTTTACAATTTATTGGGAGGCTTGTTCAGCATAGCTGTCCTGTGTTAATTACCTATTCATATTTCAGTAAATTGTTTTTTCCATACATGCCAGGTACTGTCTGACTACATATTAGATGGGTTTGTTCACAGAGTATATCTATAATTAATTGGGAGAGCTGATTTCCAGTTACCATCTTGCAACATGTAAAATTCATGTATCATTAAATCATTTGCTGAATATCTAGACATAGTATTCTCAAACCTCTAAGCCTATATAATATGATCATGTAGTTAGTGTTAACACTGCTCCTTCCAGAATTCACAGTTTATTTAGATAGACTGGAATTAGGGTGTGTGTTTGTAATAAAAAAGGCTGTTTATAAATATAAAAAGTGTAATGTCATTCTGGATTCTTGACTTTATCATGTGAGGTCTAAACGAAACATTGCTCATTAAGTACATGTATTTCATCCATACATCCAAGTGTTGTTGTCATAACAACAGTTATGTTAAATGTTATTAGTTTATAGCTACCATTTTTGCAACAGGTTTTCAGCTTGGTGTAAGTGCTTGACATCTTTGGATTATGGAAAATATTGGTTGCCATAGCAATGAACAAAGTTTATACTTTCTACCATCAGTCTAACATTTTTGTTGTTTATACCTTGTTATGTCACCACCAAAAGTGGTGACATATTGTTATGGTCTGTAGATTTTTTGCAATGGTGTTTTGCGGTTGGTATTTGGCATCTGTAACTATTGGAGGTGGTGACATTTTACATCTTAATGCATTGTCAAATATTGACATGGCTATACATAATTGTTATGTGCCTCAAATGAAAAAAAACATAGCCTAAAACGGTTTTATATTTATACATATTTTTTCAAATTTCAGGCAACACTAGGGCTATGGGAGGTGCCGTGCTACCATGAATAAGTATGAGGTACTTGGAGTGGTCGGTGAGGGAGCATATGGTGTGGTCCTGCGGTGTAGACATAAGGTAGGCTCCCTTGTATGATTGTTGATCAATTTCCATATGAGCAGTCTCCAATTGAATTGTCACAAATGTGCTTAAGGTTGTACTTCAGTGCCGATTGCGCAGTCAGTTTGCACATCTCAAATCCTGTTCTCGCATAAGTTCTTGAGGTTACGAGAGAAGTCATGGCCAAAACAACACTGAATAAAATTCTCACTCAGACAAGCATTTTAATATAATTGTATGATTGATCATTTTCAAATAATAAAATCTTGGTGGTTGGACTTTTTTCTGAAACTATTTATATATTTGAAAAACTTTGTTAGAATAAACAGATGCTTGGTGGCTCAGTTTTCTTAGGCGCATATGCATTTGTTTATGTGAAAAATAAGCTGTATAGAGATTCCATGATGACAGATAAGATTTTTATTTCCTTTACAAATTGATAAATATTGACATACATGTATTTACAACAGAACAACAATAATTTGGAGATTTCTTATATAAATTATGATTATGGTGTAAGTCTTATAATTCCTCGTAATTTTGAATTTAATTTTCACTTCCTGAAATGCTTTACTTTTGACATGATTCTTGTTCTGTCTGAAAACAGTGATAAGAATCTGCCCATGAGTCACATTAATTATTCAAATCTTTCATGCTGTACTATACTCAACAATGGTATAGTCTTAGAAACATATTGCTACTGAGATGTTGCTATGTTATTATCAGTTTCTAAGCAAATAACAAAATCTGAGATTTGAACAATTGAAAATATTTACATTAGATACACAGTTAAACCTGATTGAAGTGGATGTTTATGATTGGTTAGAAATAAAAGGTGTTCATATTTCAAGGTTCTGATAATGAGTGAGTAAATTGGTTTTATACAATGAGTCTAAAAAGTGTTCATATTCATATAATGAAGTGTTCACCTTAGAGGGGTGTTTATATGACAGTTTTCTGTAAAAACGCCATCTCATTTGAGAGACAATAGAATATAGGTAGGTGTGGCTACTTCACTGTATCATGGTCTCACCTATACCTTCCATATGGAATATTTTTATTAATATATTTCTTAACTGGTCAAGAAAATGGTCAGTTTCAGACACCAGTTTATCTTGCCAGAACTGATAGAACCCAGACATTCCCCTATGTATATGTAAAGAAAAATGTTTATCTTAGAGATAACTTAATCCACTTTAGGTGTTGATAAACAGTGGGCTATAGAAGACTAATTTACTATGTATCTGAATCAGGCTACCTGGTATGGTGGTACCTGTGTTATGGTGAACTTTCTTTAGCCCTTTACAGTCTTGTGCTCATCAACAAAAAATGGCTCAAGTTATGGAGCAATATTTATTTTAGATCAATAGGTCAAACAAAAATCTCTGAGTTTAGGACTTAGGTCAGTAAAATCTGTCTAATCTGAACACCATTGGGATCAGCTAAAAGTGTTCGGATTAGGAGGTGTTCCATATTTCTAGGTTTTTATTTAACATGGGAGTTGATGGTTAGGAAAAATGGACCAAAAAAGGGTGTTCAGATTGGGAGATGTTCAGATTAGCCAGGTGTTTGTATATACAGGTTTTCATTCTATAAGTGAGACACTTTTATGAGTTGAACACCCCTAATTATTCCTTAATTAAACTTGTTTTTTTATAGTCAAATGGCTCTCAACGTATAACATTCGTTTAAGTTAAAACCCTTCGTTGATCTATCTCAATTTGGTTGCATTATAGGTAGTTCTTTTAAGCAAGACACTGATCCATTTTGACAGGTCTCAATGCCCTGATTAGGAATTACACATATTTTATTAGGTTCTTCATTTGGTAGGATTATTCTGGTATCTCACACTGAAATGGAATTGATATTCCTGTTTTTACTAGGAAATCAAGATTTGCATTTTTATATTTTACACACTTCTCAGTTTTTGTTTGTCAGTCAGAGTCTAACAATATTGACTTTTTATTTTGTGAAATTGTGCCTATTGAAACTTTTAACAAATATGACCTTCAGTTGACCTCATGTAAATTATTGCAGATCCAGTAATTCAATATTCTCATATTGATGTCAGAGTATGTTTTCTTAGGAATTCATTTGTATGCTTTTTCTGTTAAACATTTATGTTATGACATATTCAATATCTTCAGTTATGTAAGCATCGGGATAGTGGTGTTTTTGGTATTCAAACGTTCATCTTAACTTTTCTATAGTATTTCTTACAAAGGCAATAACGATTTAGTACATGAAATTATCGCAAAGTAACTTTCAAAAGTTTTGACCAATGGCTAGAAATTAATATCTTTAGGAATTCAGTTTGACAAGAGATACTTGAGTTACTTGTATGTTGCTAAGTGATGTGTATTAGCGCCATAGTAACACTGTAAAGATACCAAGGTATTATTGGCTTTTTAGTATCTGCTTCCATTTTTAGCTATTGGAAATGTATGATATCAGGTTGATGGCCTGCAGACTGCATGCTATGGCACAATTATTGTATTTTTATACTTAATATGATCAATCTTGGCTCGTAAAATTACTTTTAGTCCCCTCAAATGTATTTTCCGGAATGCCATTTAACCCTCAGTTGCATCTGCTCTACGGTGGGTGTACAGCAGCCTTAGTTTTGGAAAATGATATAGAATTCTACATGGTGCTGCTTATCCCTATATATTATGCTGCATTCTTTTGATTTTGGGAAGCTACAGCCGCCATACATTGCCATAGATCAAATGTGACTGAGGCATTTGTCATTTTAGTAGATTCTTTGTATCATTCTACCATGCATTCCTTCAATTTTACAAAATACTTTGATAGATTATTAACTTATATAGATTTGTTATTATAAGCATGCCTTCCATTGTTAAATATGTGATCTCTGGCCTGAATTTCAACACTTTTTCACTGACAAATCTTGATTTCAACAAAGTGATAAAGTTCTCTATGTAAATGTGGATAAATATTATTACACTGGTACTATTTACATTCGTAATCTTTCAAGTTATTTGGAACTGAGAAATACAATGATCTATTATTGCAATTAGCAGATAATGTTCAACACTTATACCTGTAGCTATCTATTTACACAAAAATATATTTTGATTAACTTTAAATCATTTCAACCAAGTTATTCACAAAAGTTATCGCTCTAGGCTTAATATAATATTTTGCTTGGAAAATACTTGTGTTTGTTGCATGGGAAATGATTTACATAACTCTGTATCTATTGGGAAAAGTCTTGTAAATAAAATATGAGGAGAATTGTGACTTTATCTACAAGAGATAGTGACCTTTGACTGCCCTGATGAATACATACAGTAAGAAGATGCAAATACATGTTTGGTTTTTTGTATAACTCAAGTTTGCTTTTTAGACTCAGTTTCTTGCCTCTCCACAAGGGAAAACTCCCCAGGATTTTATCAAGACTCTTCTGTAAACTCTATCTCGAATACTCACTATTAATACCCACCCCTTGGGCAGGCCCAGAAAAAATTGGGCAAAAAAAGCCTTAAGGCCCCAAAAGTGGGCCTTTTTGGCCATTACTAGACCTTTAAAGGCCTTATTGTTTCAGTATAGGCCAAATTTTGACGGTTTAAGGGGCCCAAATATTTTTTATCAGACCTGAAATTTGGGCCCCCCCCCTTGTTGGTGGTTCCCAAATCTGCCCCTGTATATGAAGCAATCATCAAATAAAGCCACGCCCAAGATGATGAATATTTCTCTTCTCTCTTGCATTAAATTAGAGATGATCTTATTCATGTATAGCAGAATGCGAAACACCTGGGTTCCTTCACTGCTTGGCAGATCACAAGAGAAGCTTATCTGACTGCCTCTATATCTTGTTTTATCATGTTTTTCTCAGATGATGTACATGTTTGGGTTATGTTATTGTCTGAATTTTCTGGATTAAAGCTGAAGATATTTGGCTCGAAAAAATGATTTTGTGAAAAATGAATTTTGAGTCAAAATGTGGTCTCAACTTAGAGTTCATTCGAGATATGTATACCTCTTTGATGATGATATTGAGAGTTAAAAGGAATGTTTTTTTGTTTGTTTCAGGACACAGGTGAAATAGTTGCAATAAAGAAGTTCAAAGACAGTGAAGGTAAGTGGTATTGGGATAAACCGATCACTTCACTGAAATCATGTTTCATCAGAATTCATTAATTTTCATCATGGTAAGCCACACCCTCTCCATCTATGTCCTTCTGTGACGTATCAGAGTATCAGAATGCTTAATTCTAAGGATTTCACTAGTGAACCAATTATACATACTTTTAATGTCACAATGTTGTCATAGCCTTCATTTTTTTGTATTGGTGGTTAGCATATGGCATCTGTAACAAATTGTTGCATTTATGGGGGGGAGGTGAAATTTTGTCGTGTAAATGCCTTACTTTGGTGTTAACTGGGGCAGTAGCATCATTTCCATCATTGTGATCAATTATCTTCCAACTCACTCAAACTAGGATTTCTGAAAATTTACATATGGGGGGTGATCAAAAACTTCTCATATATCCATGTGCTTTAATATGATGAAATTACCGAAGGAAATGTCTTGGTTTCTTGTATATAAGTTAAGTTTAATAAATTTTAATTTCTGAAGGTTTTTATTCTGATGTATTTATCATGCACTTATTAGTGTTGTTTTGCAGAGCTGAATATATTTTGTCCTTTTATTTTTACCACAAACCTCAGTTATATTTAATCAGTCTCTGGGTGTTTATATCATAATCTCTTTCAATTCTGTTATATTTATTTTAAGAGTAAATAGATTTCAGGTATTGAGAATTGAATTGCCAATTGATTTAGCCTATTATGGATCATTCTTGAAACCCTATATTATGAAAGTAAGTCAGATCCATTTTAGAGACTACTTAAAGGTGCTATATAATTTGTGAAAATAAACCCTAAGGGATACAGAGCTACCGGCAGACAACATGGGGCATAAAGCACTACCCATTCTTCTGTTTCAAATCAGTTTATGATTGGGAAGATCAAGTTTAACGGAAGGCCACAAAACTGCAGTCCTGTCACTGTATGGATTACTATATAGGTCATATAAAAATGTTTTTATGTTCTGACTTCAATTTTTAAGTTCAGTCACTAAGCCCCCTGAGCAAAAATTTCAAAATCATGCAGATTTTTCACCAAGACTACTTAAAGGTGCTATACAATTTGTCTCTACTATCTCTGGAAGAGGAGTAGCTTAAGATAAAGATTGATTCTAATCAATCAAAATGCCTTTACAGAGTTAAGACGATTAACTTAAAGAATATTCCTGTCTTGAAATAATGGGTTGCTTTTTTATTCCGGGGCCCCTGGATCTTTGGCACAAATCAATGTTACTTAAATGTCAAATTGGAAAAGTGTCATCCTAATGTTTTTAAAAAGGGCTTCCTCAACCAGATACTCAAATGTCTTATCCAGTTGTCTCGCTGAAATGTAGAATTGAAAACTGAAACACATTTGATCCAAAAAGGATTACATGTACTTACTCTGAGTGCCAAGACCTAATACATGAGGTTAGGCCAAATCAAAGGATTATCTCTAACTCAAAGAGTATAGCACTCTTGCTTCAAATCTGGACCCCCATTTTCTCAAATAGAGCATACACGACCTTGTTGGAGGGGTATGAGGGGGGGGGGGTCATAAAGGCTTGTAGCTAGACTAAGAGACTCTTAGTAAGAGTGTATATGAAGCTCTCTTTTAGAGAACCAAAATCAAACTATTTGAAAGGGTAACATGAACTACCCCAATTTAGTTTTTTTTGTCACTACCACAAGTGCTGACAATTGTTATAGTCTCTAACTTTTTTGTGGATGGTGTTCGGTGGTTGGCATTTGGTGGTTGGTATCTGTAGCAAATGGCAGGTAGTTGCATTTTTCAAGGCCTTGTTACTTTAAGCCCATGGTGCTTTTACATTCTGGGAAAAAGCTCCGCAGTAGGGGGTATTTGGCTCTTATCTTCTTTCTACGGTGTTTGAACTGACATAATACATATGTAGATACATGTAATATGATACGTGTTAGGAAGCAAAATTCAATACAAAAATTAAGAGTTTCCTAGGGGTGTGACACGGCGAATATCTTGTTTCAGTCATATTGATCTTAGCTTGATATAGTGTCTAATTAAAAATCTCCTCATAAATAGTTGGATAAGAATGTCTTTCTTGGAGATAAAATAACGAGTTAATGGTTGATTTGATGGTATCTGATTGTTTAATGAAAACAGATGTTTGCTTTATGTAATTAAATCAATGAATAATTACCTCATCAAGAAAGGATTAATCCATTGTGATTTATGCGTTAGTTCTATCATATTCATATAGCTCCTTGAGCTGAATGAAACGGGGATCAGTTGTGGAAGTTTTGATGACCAACCTGTAGTGTGAACCAGGGGCCTGTTTCTACTGTATTTTGACAAAACCTATACAGGAGCCTGGTGCAAGACTACATTTAGTTAACACAATTTTCAGAGTTTAAATCAAAGGGAATTGTTATTATATTTATATTATTGCCAATAGGAGGAAGTCTTCTGGGAAATTGCGTACATTTTGAAAATGTTGAAAATGTATTGAAATATTACACCTCAGAAATTAATTTGTATATAGTATCTGTTAGTTGTTAGTGTTGGTATCCGGACCAGGCATTGTTAATCATATGAGTGGATACCTTACTTGTTAGAGGGTTAAGTGTTCTAAACGTACATGTTTTAAACTTTTAAAGCTTTAAACCAATTAAGAGAAAATTTCAATTTTTTATCATTTCACAAATTCTTTTTTTGAGATACTTTGTATATACAGTTTGTACGTGACACACATGTATATTGATTTTGAAATTCTGTCCAAGCTTTGTAATCTGATTTCAAAACATTTTACTATTTAGACGCTTTTATATACCGTTGCATAGTCTACACACCTTAACAATGCTATGTGTAGGTCAACATAATGTGTTTGTTTCCTTTGGGCCAGTTCAAGAAAATTCACCTGATTAAACCTAAATAACGATTTTCTTTTTTCTTATGTTGTAATAAATTGTCCAATTTTGAGGGATTTCTGTATCATTAATAACATTATGGTTATAGACCGAAGTGCTTATAAATTCTTAATTTGCGTAGAAACGATCTACTGTAATATTATTTCCTCGAAGGTACAGAGTTATATATGGCTGGGGCAACCTATTGAACAAATATGTACATAGAGACTAACCTTTTCTCAATATTTCGATTTATAAACATTGTGAAACTTTCCCCTTTGTGCTTTTTGACCTTACATTGTTACTTTTCGATTATTCAGTAATTTGTATGCAGTTTTGGGGATTTGTAAATTCCATGTGTCAATGAATTTGAAAACATTAAAATTCCATTTTATGAATATTGTATTGTATGATAATATTCAACTTGTGTGTACTAAAATATGTGTTTTGTTATACAGTGCCTAGTTTTCATATATTCATACTTTAGATATTTTTTTTGTAAAATGAACATCTGTTTTTTTAAATTGTAATAACCTTGACAGTAAAAAGGAATTCTTTGATTTTAAAGCTTTAATTGTTAGCTATGTTTATAAATGGTAAAATATCTACATCAAAAAATAAGAAGGTCGAGGCAAGAATGTATGATTTGTCATCTATAAAACATCTGTCCATTTGGCTCAATATAAATTCAGTTAAGACCAAGTTACCAAGATTCACATTTTATATTTATGTGTACGTTATAATACTAGAATTAAATTGATTTGCGTATGACATTAATATAATGAAGTGATGTGTAATAAGCAAGTTTATTTTCCCCTATGTAAATTAACATAGTCATAAACAACCTTATCAACTTTTTTGGACCCTTTAGACCTTTATTGTTAAAGTTAAATTAGGACACAAGAAAAGTTGCATATGAAAATACAAATTCTGATGATACTCTTAATAATTCCTATGCATCATGTTTGAGTTCAAAAATGTAAGCTAAAATTATAAAAGAACTCTTTGGGAGAGATGTCAAGTGTTGAGTGTATTCAGTTCTTAACTTTCAATTACAGTGTTCTCATATTGGTAGTACCACCCTACTTGTAATTCAAAAAGTTGAATAAAATCTGCTTCAATTTCAAGTATGTATTTTACATTATATTTTTATATACTATACACGTTTACATAGAGCTGGGTAATTGATCCTGTAATTCATTGGATCATTTGTTAGAGGATCACTGACATGACATTTTGAATACCCTTCGTAAGACTTCGTCTAAACTCTTTAAATGAGCTTTTTTCTGGCCTATATATCATACATATATATAGATTTTTTTGTTAATTAAAATCATATAAACATATATACATAATAGTGATAAATGACTTATGTATTGTCAAAAATCAAAATACTCCATTTGCCACCTATAAGCTAATCTTCTATTTCAAAGGACGATTCTCGGTTTGGAGAACAGTCTCCTGGGCTAATAATTTTTTTCATAAAAAATATAGAAATATTACCCAAATTAAACTATGAATATTCAAAAGAGGACATTTAAATCTACAAGATGTAAAAATAACAAATTGGTCTGAAGCAGGGATAACGCTCAATTTGACCGATTCAATAAAATACAAGTCTCGATTTGGGGAAAGAAGTTCATCAGTGTACTGCGCTAATATTTTTTTTTCGAAAAATCTAGAAATATTACCCAAATTAAATTATGACTATTCAAAAGAAGACATTCAAATCTATATTATGTAAAAAAATCAAATTTGTCCGAAGCAGGGATAATGCTCATTTAGATTGATGAACTTCGTTCTCCAAACCGAGAATCGTCCTTTAAACTCCCATCGAAGCTGCAGATCCTAAGACAAACGTCGAAACTGTAAAAAATCATCAATAGTCAGAGGGAGTTGTTACTATACTGGTTCATATGGACCCAGGGTAAATGATGTACATTTTTTATTTCCAGACAATGAAGATGTCAAGCGTACAACTCTTCGCGAGCTCAAGATGTTACGCTCTCTCAAACAGGAAAACATTGTCGAGCTACGAGAGGCATTCAGACGTCGCGGGAAACTCTATCTCGTCTTTGAATATGTTGAACGGGTATGTACAGGAGATGTAAAATTCCATACTACATGTTTTAGAAGAGATGGTCTCTTTATGAGCAATTGAGATGTTGTTAAAAACTTAAAGTTTCGTCCCACGAATCCCAATGCACATCACCATGTTTTTAACAATAATTATGTAAATGTTTGTTGTATAAATTAGGATGTAGGTGCTAAAAGACAATACAAATCATGTTGTCTTTTATTATAACCTAACTTAAAAGAGCTTATTAGTATGCAGAAAGGTAATGTCTTTAGAAAATGTATTTTAAGATAAAAGCTTCATTGCTATATCAAATTAGCTCAGACCAGAAATGGATAGAAATTGTATTTCAGAATATGCTGGAGCTTTTGAAAGGCATCTGTCAACTATGTAATTGTGTTTCAGAATATGCTGGAGCTTTTGAAGACATCTATCAACTAAGTAATTGTGTTTCAGAATATGCTGGAGCTTTTGAAGACATCTATCAACTAAGTAATTGTGTTTCAGAATATGCTGGAGCTTTTGAAAGGCATCTGACAACTATGTAATTGTATTTCAGAATATGCTGGAGCTTTTGGAAGACATGCCAAATGGAGTTCCAGCAGAGAAAGTTCGTAGCTACATCTATCAACTTTGCAAGGCTATATTTTGGTGCCACTCCAATGATATAATACATAGAGATATAAAGCCAGAAAATTTGCTCATCAGTAAAGACGACAAATTGAAATTGTGTGACTTTGGTAAGTTGGATTAGATCCCTTTTCATTGAATGTTTTTGAGATTATTTATAGTTCATATAATTTATGGTTAGTTTTTCCCCAATTGATGGTATAAAGTAAAATGGAACACCTTTCTGTTGGGAACACCTGTCTCCAAGGAACAGTTTTCCAAAGAGCCAAATAATTTCCATTGACTTACATGTTAAGGGACTCTCTCTTTAAAGAACACCTGTCTACAAAGAACAGTTTTGGCCAGTTCAGAGAGCATTCCTTGTTCACAGGTTTTACTTTATCACATTATTGATTTTTAAGAAATTCTCTTTGGGATGGTAAGATTGGTTGATTCAAAATTTAGTAATACAATAAAAATAATTTTAAAAAAACAACTTTTTGATTGTAAAAATAGCCTTTTTAAGCTGTATATCATTTACTAAATACTCAGATATTCGATTTCTGCCATTCCCAGGAATTTTCAACCAATCTGAGTTAGGGGATTTTGCACATGAAATATAAGTGTTATACAGTAACTGGTCATTCTCTATTTTTTGTTCATAGGTTTTGCACGCAACCTTCAGGGAGACAGAAGTGCCAACTACACTGACTACGTTGCCACAAGGTGGTACCGCTCACCAGAACTTTTACTAGGGTAGGTATTCTTAGCCCCTTTTCTAGGATAGGGGCTAGAAAAATTTTGTTTGAAAATATGCAAATTAGGATTAGAATTTTTCAGATTTTGCCCAAAAATGCCATAAGAGATGATTATCTAAGAAATATTTTCCAGAACTTTTACTGGGGTAGGTATTCTTTCTGTAGCAGCCAACACACATCGAAGGGGGGTAGAATCTTCGTATTTTCTAGCAGAAGGGGCTAGAAAAATGTTCAGCTCTATATAAAACTTGTTTGACATCTTTGATCTGTTTTTTTTGTAACTAGAACTCAATGGGGTAGAGAAATTATGTGAAATGGATTTCCTCAGATTTTAATTATTGTGCAAGCGCTACCATATTCCTTCTCTAAACACAACAATAATCTCTATCATATACAAGATTTCATAATATATATCATATATTACAGATCAGCCTACAGTAAGCCTGTAGATATATGGGCCATAGGCTGTATACTGGGAGAGCTGAGTGATGGGCAACCCCTGTTTCCAGGAGAGAGTGAGATAGATCAGCTTTACTGTATACAAAAGATAATTGCTCCCTTACCCCCTGAACAAATGGAGATGTTCTACAAGAATCCAAGATTCCAGGGGCTTAAGGTAAAATTTATATGATTCAAATATATTTATTACCCATAATGCAATTCTTGGTGCAGATGACATTTACATTTCAGACAATAAGATAATAGTTCCAAATTGAACAATTCATGTACAGTTTCTAATGGAAACATACAAATCAGTCATATTTTGGTTGACACTGAAAAAATTGAAAATGTTAATACTGTGTTGAAACATTCTCATGTAGCAATGTGTTTATTCTATCATTGTAAATATTCACAATCACAGTGTGGGTCTTAGGATTTTTCTCTTGCTCGCCAATTGGCAAGTGACTTGTGTTTTCACACTCGCCAGTGAAAAATTATGGTCGCCACAATGTTACCAGTAAGTTACTAGGTGTACAATTTGGGGAGACTATGTTTATTGAAAACTAGACCCTTTTATAATGAGACCATTTTTATTGAAAATGAGACCATTCATAATGCCACCATTGTAAATGTGTGGTCATGCCAATGTTTGAAAAATATGTAAATAATTTAAACTTTGATTTCAGTTCCCTGCGGTGACAAGCCCTACAACATTACAACAACGCTACAAAGGGATTCTAAGTGGTGTCATGATAGACTTTATTAAAAACACGCTAGTTCTTGAACCACATGACAGATTCTCTATACAGCAATGTATGGACCACCCTTGTTTCCAGACAGAACAGCTAATACATCGTAATCAAGTGCCAATGAAAATTATCGACACAAATGTCAATACAAAACGTCGTAAAAATGATCCAATGGATAGTCAGTAAGTTTCAAAATAGATTTTTTTATTTACTTTTCTATGATGTTTTGCTTTACTTTTTTTCATTGTTTTGTCTCTCATGGTGAGCCTATGGAATTGTCCACTCTTCTGTCTGTCCATCTATCCATTCATCAACATTTTCATACAAATGAAACTGCCTTATGTCTGGTCTAATATCCATTTTTTGGGCTCCATACTGGTTTTTTTATACCATTATTTACCATGGTTACCATTGGTTCCTGCTCCTTCATTTGTCTCGTTTTAATCTGCATATGTATACCATTTCACTTTCTTTTCCAGCCCCCAAATTGAACAGCCCTCATCCCAGGTCCAGTTGAGTAACCATAGCAACAAACCCCCACCCCAACAACATCCACCAAGCAACCAGAACAACAAATTTTCATCTCATGGTCGCCAAGACAGTGATACAACAAACAATGATCATCAGACCTCCACACATAATAAATTTATGAAATCAAAAGAGCGTCGGAAATCCTCTCCTCAAACTGAGGCTGTGAAAATCGCTAATCAAAGGCAATATCCTGAAAATGAACATGTAGCCAAATACATAAAGACGTATAAAAAGCGTGATAGTCAAGATAGTATGGAAGTCAGATCTGATGCAAAGCATCATGGGAATATGGACCCATCAAAAAATTATAAAAATCTGAGCAAAAATGTGAAAAATGACACAACAGAAGCTTCCCACCAAAGATCAGAAAGTAGAACTGAACCCTTGAATAATGATAAACATCGGACGTTTGCAGATTTTAGAAATTCTGAATCAAGTGGGAATCCCCAAAGAGCTCAGCAGAAGAGCGATGAACGAAGGGTCGATCATCATCGACCTGAATCTCGTATAGACTTGCATCAGGATCAAGAATACCCAAATATGGAATCTAAGTACCTCAAAAAACATGACAGACATCGACAAGATTATCAAAATGAGACTGAAAATCAGAGCGTTGAGAATCGTAATGCCAATGTTCAAGCAAACAATATAAAAAATAGCAATACATACACTGTTAAAGTGAACGCTGGGTCTTCACACCATGCACACTCCCAGCATGCTCAGCAAAGTCATGCTCACTCCCAGCAGGCTCAGCAAAGCCCTCAGATGGAGAGGAAAAATAAACAATATCATAATAGCCAATCCCCAGCAGTGGAACGTAAAAATAAATATTTTCAACCTCAGCATGCTCAAGATTCACAAGATCGTAAAAATAAATTCAATGCTAGCCACCAGGAGGAACTTGATAGGATTAAATCAAACTCAATTTCCAGGCGGAAAAATCGAGATGGATCGGCACCAAATAAAACTCATGATGAAAGATTGGCTGAGGCTAAGGTATGGATTGATTTACAGTAACTCTCTAATCTTAACTTATTAACCACACCTTGAAGTATGCCAAGTGTCTTAATACTGTACTTCTAATTAATTTGGCGGATCCATCAAATTCAATATTTCATATATCAATCATAAATATGTATAGTACATTTTAATATTACAAATCCGCCAAATTAAGTAGCCACCTAATGCTCAAGACAGCAATTCCTCCAAAATATGTAGCGCCAAATTAGATCCAAAAGTGAATTGTGTCCTGTCCCCTGTGTTTAGCATACGAGATATGATGCAGCAAAGTATACACAAACTTTTCAGCATCAATCCTTGATAAAACAAAACTCAACAAAACTAAATATGTTACAGCATAATAAACTTTTTTTCTCCAAGATATTTTTATCACCATTGAGGATGCAAGGTATAATTGCAAGTTGGGTCACAAATGGATCACATCTAACATCCTCATGACTTTAAAAATATCAATAAGAGAAATTTGATCTGTTATTACTAGAGAAATGAGCATAAATATATTATATGAATCCTTGGTCAAAATATGTACAATTATGTGCACATATAGATCAAAATTTAAACATAAATTTATATTTGTCAACTTCAAAATTATGCAGCCTTTTTATTTTATTTAAACACAGTAATGGCTTATTTAGACAAGTTATCATTTTTAATTTGAATACTTAAAGATCTTGACGGAGCAGATTTTTTATTTTATATTTTCCGCTATTTATTTTCCGCTACAGCTTGCTCAAGCGTCATTGGTCAGTCAGTCTCTGGATAACTCAGGGCAAGCAAAATACCAGGACCCCCAAGGCCAAGGCAAATACAAGACGTTTCCCAATGGAAGTGTCGGGTCGGGAGCTGGAACTGCATCACGTGATAAGCGAACTAAAGGCCATTATTACGGTAATGTGGATTTAATTACTTGATAATTAGTTGTGTACGTGCTATGTTAATCAAATAAAATTTAAGATGTCAAGAGTATTTTTTTAATAGATTGATGTTTTCTGTATAAGAATTGAATGTATAATCTAAAGAAACAGCCCAGCAGTGTATCCTATAAAACAGCAATACACATATATTCTGTTGAATCTTGAATGAGAAGTTTTGGTGGCACAGTTTCCATGCAAAAAATTCAAGTGACATTTTATTCTGTATATATTGTTTTGATATATGTGAAATGAATTCAAACGTGATCGTGCTCTATTCGAATTTCTCAACCAATCAGAATGCAGCATAGCCAATATAGAACGTTCTCTAATTCTCCATAGATGCACGACCATGCTCTATTCAATCTTCGGTTCGTGCTTTGTACAACATTCTGTCCAACTCGTGCTGAATTTCACCATATTGAATGGCCTATCATTATTTATTCCTTAATTTAAGCACACGGCTCAATGCATTGTTGATGTTTTTAATGCATTGTTTCCTAGACCTTGCATTCATGCTGCTGCACTCATGCAAAGGTCTGGAAACAACACATACATTGTTAAATCATCATACAATACATTGAGTCCTTGGCTTAAATCCTTTCACATTGATGGGTCTGTCTTGTTAACAAAATGGGAAAGTACTCAACTAATGAGATATAATGATGGGTTTGTCTTGGTAACAAAATGGGAAAGTACTCAACTAATGAGACATAATGATGGGTCTGTTTTGGTAACAAAATGGGAAAGTACTCAACTAATGAGATATTATGATGGGTTTGTCTTAGTAACAAAATGGGAAAGTACTCAACTAATGAGATATAATGATGGGTTTGTCTTGGTAACAAAATGGGAAAGTACTCAACTAATGAGATATAATGATGGGTCTGTCTTGGTAACAAAATGGGAAAGTACTCAACTAATTAGATATTATGATTGGTTTGTCTTGGTAACAAAATGGGAAAGTAGTTAACTAAGGAGATATAATCATGGGTTTCTCTTGGTAACAAATTGGGAAATTCAGCAATTCCTCCACTTTGTATTGATAGCTTGTTGTGTTTGTCTGTAAATGGATGTGGTCAAATACAAAAAAAAAAAAAATACTGACAGATACAAAGAAAAACATTGTTTTTTTTATGTTTGGTGATCACTGTGAACTCCATGTTTTTAGCTGTTTATATCTGAATTTGTTTTTTAAATGCATGCTATTTATCGTTATGATTGGATCGGAAGTTGTTATCTTTGATATGATTTTTATTTGTGATTGTGAAACATTGTTATGTCACCACCAGAAGTGTTGACGTATTGTTATGGTCTCCATATTTTGTGATGGTAGGCGTCCGGCGTTCAGTGTCTGTAACAAATCGCAGGTGGTGACATTTTGCATATTAATACCTTATTTGTGATTGTGATGCATTGTTTCTGATTGTGATGCATTGTTTGTGATTGTGATGCATTATTTGATTGTGATGCATTGTTGATTACAGACCCTAGCCTAGCCAACAATGATCCCAGCATGCCATCTGTAGAAGGTACCAAGTTAAACAAAACATTTGTTTATTTATTTATTTATTTAGATATTTATGTTTTTCATAGAAAGTGCCATAATATCAGTTTCTGTTGAATTTTGTAAAACTAAAGGCAAATAAGTTTTGTTCGAAGGGAATATCAAGAATAACTTTTAAGTAACGGAAAATAGTTTACAAATAATAAAAAAAAGTTTGAAATGAGGCCTATGATGATTCACTGTTGGAAATGAGAACAAGAACTTTTGTTTATATATACAGATGGAAATGTTTTAATACTTCATTTATAGAAACTGATATGTGGACATTAATCCTCTGTTAATTTTTTTGTGTTTTTCAGCCTATATTTTAGTTTTTTTGTTTGTTTTCCTAACCCATAGTTAGATCACACCCATAAGCTCACCCATTTCTAGTGTGTTATAGATTCTTGTATAAATAAAGCATATAGTGCTATTGTGGATCTAAGAATGTGTCAAATGTGTTTCATTATGAAATATACAGTAAAACCTGTGTAAGTGAACATCTATTTAAAGTGAACACTTAAACTCTATTTTGGTACCATTAATGGGATGTCCCTTTAAAGATGTACTGTGGGTATTTTGAATTGGGTGGTATAATTTTCATTTAATTATCCTCTGTATATACCAACTGTCAAGATTCCAAATCTTATTGTGAATGTGTCGATTTGTTGATTTATGACAAATTGATATTTAGCTGGACAGTATAAAAGCATCAAGGGATGATTTTGGGAACCCCAAAGTTTATATATTTTGTACAGATATTTCATTTAGAAAAAGATTCCAGAGGGTAAAATGTTGGGTCTAGCCAATTCGACTCTTTTTGACACTCACTTTAAACAAGTTTTGCTGTATATTATACAGGGTGGCCCAAAAAACAGAACCTAAGGATTTGTGGATTCCACTTTGTGCTCACCCTGTTAACTCATTTTCTTTCCACCATTTTCACTATACACATGTATTGTCACATATCATTCACATGTTTGTTTTTAGAACCACTTAAAAGTCTTAAAGGCCCCCTATACAGTCAGAAATGTGAGAAACTCTTCTTTTTATCCAACTTACTCCCTCTGTTTACTCCCCTGTAGGCATGGCGAGTGGAAACCTTTTTGCTTTTCTATAATCTATTATTATTATTACATAATGCATTCAGCCTTTAGTATCTTTATTTGTAACTGTATGCAATGATATGAAGTACATCTTCTTTATTTGCTGCAGCTTTTAGAATTTTCAATCCTTTCATTCTTGTCATTCAGTTGATGCAAAATTCTCAGAAATGAGTGGATTCTATACTTAATAGTGAAATTTGTAACATGCATGTTAATTGTCATTTTGCATTGCTTTTGATTTTTGTTTATTTCAGACCTACTTTTACCTGTACTTTATTTCCTTTAATCAGTCATCTACTTTCCTTCAGTATGTATTGTACCCATGATTATTTTGGCAATGTTTTGTTTATAGGAAAAGTCCTGATTATTACCATGGTAATAAACTAACCATGGGGTCATTAACAGAAACTTAGTAAAGTTACGAATTCGTAAATCAATTATTGTAACCTTGGATATAATGATGTCACAGGTAGAGAACAATGGGTTTTACGAATTCTTAACTTTATGAAGCTTCTGTTAATGGCCCCCATATTACTAAATTATCCTCCTTTATGCAAAGTAATGTAGATTTCATACATTCTGCTCAGAAAAACATGAGAATTTTGAATAATAAACATTTTGCTATTGTCTTTCAAAGTTCTTCCACTGTTCATGGTGTAAGATACACTAAATACTAGGTAATGAGACATGCCTAATTTTTGCATGCAATTTAAAAATCAAAATTAAAAAAAAATTCATGTCCATTCATGTCAATTAGTTCAATTCTGTAAAATCATTATATTTAGGATATGTAAATTCATCGGCATCACACTGATTTTTGCTATACAACAAAATCAGCACATGTTTGTCTTGATTTCAGATATTGGTATCTATAGAGAGCCTGGGGGTCAAGGAGGTCAGGGAAGACGTGGATCCTCACCCCAGAACAAATCTATTGTCAAATATTCATCATCTCAGACGAATATGGACAATCAGCAACAAATGTGAGTAATGAGTACACAATATAGAAGTAATGAGTGCTCTCCATGTAAGTAATGAGTACACAATGATAAGTAATGAGTGTGAGTACTCTTGATGTAAGTAGTGAGTACACAATGTATAAGTAATGAGTATGAATACTCTCAATGTAAGAAAAGAGTACACAATGATAAGTAATGAGTATGAGTACCCTTGATGTAAGTAGTGAGTACACTCTAGAACTAAATATGATTCTCCCAATGTATGAAGTTTAATAGGGATATAGTAAAGTCCATCATCCGTCAATCAGTCTGTCCATCCATCCAGAAAATATTTTGAATACTAGTTAGTAATACATGAAATGTAAGTGATGAGTACTTTAGTTATAAGTCTTGAGTACATTGCATGAAATTCTATGGAGATATTGTCTCTCAAAAAGTTGGTCGATTGTGATTATTCCACCTATCATGCTGTAACATTCAAAAGTGTGACAATGGTACATACTTGATTTCAGTCCTGGAGACAGTTATGATAGATTCGACAGAGAGAAAGATAAGAACTCACTACAAGCTTTATTTAAAAAGAAGAAAAAGAAACGCCATGACCAAAGAATGCAACTGGTAAGTCATTGGAAATGTTAACATTGAACTATTTATTTTTGTCCCTTGATTGTAGCCAGTGACCCCAGTTTAGCAAGTGAATGGTTCATAATGTAAAGTCAACTATCATATGAAGAGTGATCAAAAGGTCTTGTAATATCTCTCTAATAAACTAATTTCTTTTGCTGGATTAATGTTCTTGTTTGTGTCAAATTCTGTGAAGATTTCATTACGATATATTAAAGAATGAAACATATAGAGATATGAGAACTTAATGATCACCCTTATACATTCGATCTTTAAATGATGATCCATGTGATATTATGGCAATCTTTATTTTTGTAGCTGATGGACCAGTCAAACTCTGAAGGTCAAAGGTCAGCAGGAGGTAGCAATGACAACAGTCCCAGGGAACTTCAAGGTCAAGGTCACCACCAAGGTCAAGGTTACTTTGTGGGTCAAGGACAATACAGAGATGCACCCCCATACAGGGACCCTCCTCAGTACAACAAACAAGGGGTAGCTCTTAGAAAGCTCACCCAGACACCAGTTGATAAGGTTTGTTTTGTCTGTTTAGTTGTTGTCTTAATTAAAGTCAGAAAACTATTTTTGTCAAAACACTGACCACTGGCACCCCACCCCACTTACTAGATCTGATACTTCCTGCATTGTGTTGATCATCACTTAATAGTCTTATCAAATAATAGTAGTGAGTCCCACCAAAATTGTTATGTGACAGTACAAATACCAAATAAATGTTACCATTAACAAAGTTGTTGATTTTCTTTCTCAGAGCTATTTATTTTTATTTTTGACGCTTCGTAGGATGTCCATAGGATGTTAATAGTACATCACTACCAGAGAGATGAACATTCATAGAAATAAATGTTGTTTCTTTGATTATAACATATTTTAACCCCCATTTCTAATTTTCAGAGTAAGCGTTTGCAACCATTGCCACACATCAACAACCTAGCAGCTACACCCATGTATCAATCCCAGACACATGATTCGTCTCGTACCTCTCACCCACATAGATCTGACAATATAGATGGCCCTGCCATCGCCTCATTATCAGGTACGGACATTCGCCCACCGAATTGGCCAAAAAGACAAACTTCCCCAGAAAGTATCGAACAATTGACATCAGATTTGAAAATATCTCCTCGCGATCTGAAACCTGTTAAAAGTGCTAAAAGAGAGAGAAATCACCCAGACTTCAAAGGGTTGAAAGAAACGGCTATATGATATAAATGTAGGCTTACCCATAATTAAGTAATTATTAAGGGTCAGTGTTCATGGATACCTGTTGAGAGGGATAGAATCAAGCAATGGCGACATGAGAACATGAGAATTACAGCGACATCTATAGAACAAAGGAAAAATTCTTCAGGCTATATATTAGACAAGTAAATCTGGATACATTATGACAAACTGTAGTTGTTAGTGTTAAACAACAGAAGAATGCAAAAATTACAAAATCATACAGCATTTTAGAAAGCGGAAACCTCTCAGATGGTTGAGTTATTCACTTCTATCAGAGGGTTTTATCCCCAGCATTATTTTTATACTGTTGTTGAAGTGTTATATCTTCAGGATTCTTGAATTGAGTAATGATATACACAAGTTATACACTGGTAACTACCTACTCACATCTGAGTCATTCATTTGAATGTTGCAGGGAACGTTATCATACTTTTTGTATGTCTAAACATGTTAATGTATTAAACTAAAGCATTATTAATGTTTCAGTCCTATAACCAATAAGCATTTTATGGTTGCTATATGAAATTTCAGTAAACAATACAGACACAGTCAGTTAACTTTTTGATCACTCCTTATATGGATAAAAATGCCTGATATTTCGTAAGAATGTGCGAAATCCATGACAAGAATGTTGAAAAGAAGTTATGAGTAAGAGCTGGATATTACCTTATGACAAGGTTACACTATCTACATTACCATATACTATTAGTTATAAGTTATTAGTATGGCAGTATGCTACCTGAGGTTACATCTAAATTATTAGTCCTAAGATAGATCTAAAATATTGGTTCATGGACAATGTAGGGTTAACTTGCTTGGGGGTATCTCTAAGTAATTAATACAGCATACATGCCCATTATTACTATTATTATTACTTTATGTTATAGTTTACACATATACGTTGTAAAAGACAATTAAACCTCAAGTCAACTTTATTACATGTGTAAAGTACTCATTAAATCTTTAAGGTATCAGTGTAGACAATGAGAGAGAAGTTCAGGGACAATGGAATGGATTTGTGGCATTATTATATCACTATCTAGCTAGCGACAGTATGATTGGTCAAAACCGGGTCACATGTCGTGGGATATCTGGCGATATTCAATGGCAATGCTAATCAGATAAGACAACCGTGAGATATCTAGCGATATCCCACGCTCCCGGGAATTTTCAAAGAATTTGTTTTCGTTCAGTGTAAATAATTTAGTTCAGTGTAAGTCAAAATGGCAGACGAACCGAGTAGATTCAATGTATTTCAATGTTAACCTATGACTATATACCTGTAGCACTTTCACAAGGTGATATTCCACTTGCCCTTCGGGCTTCGTGGAATATCACTTGTGAAAGATGTACAGGTATTCACCTCAATAGAGTGAAATATTTGTTCAATATCTTGATGCAGAAATGAGATATACAATGAGTTATACAATATTCTTAAATTACCACCTATTGTCTGTACCAATCTCTAATTAGACATTACCTATGTGCCCATATGTGTCAGGCCTGTAGCCAGGATTTGCCAGGGGGTTCACTTTTTAAAAATTTTAGGGGGGTTCACTTGTGTCAATTTTTGTCCAAAAATGGCCAAAATCACTTAAAAAGTGCTCAGAATGGTGAAAAACTGCATGATTTTGAAAGATTTTTTGGCTGGGGGGGGGGGGTTTGCTCAAACCCATCGAAGCCCCCCCCCCCCTCCTGGCTACGGGCCTGTGTGTTCAACTTACAGCACCATAATACACCTCATAGTAAAAAGATAATAGAGTCAGTGACAACTGGACATGGTCCATGCTTTTCATGAAAATATATTAAGGTTAATTAAGTAGCATCCTAATTGTCAAGGTATATCTGCATTATGAGAGTTTCTATTTTCATGATTATAATTACAGAACCAAATACATTAGTATGTGAAAGTAGTATTTCAATCACATTTTTATGTGGATATTTACATTTTAGGGTAGAAAATATAGTTCAAAACATTTCAATTAAATGGATAAATGACATTTTTCTAATTATTTGGCAATGTCTTTGTAAGTGCTTCACTACTATAGCAACAAGTCATGTAAGAATACAACAGATGGGACTGAGAAAAAAGGGCAGAAAATCAAACAACTGGTCGTCCCTCCAATAATTTTAAAAACATATATACATTATTGATTTGCTTATATTGTTTTGCTATATAATTGTACATTTGTATAAACAATACTATCCAATATTTATATTTTTATTTAATCCAGGTTATCAAAAAGTGCCAATTAATTACATGAGAACTGAAGAATAAATCGTATGATCAAAGTCATAGGATATAGGGAGGGGGTCAGGGTATCTCCAGTTGGTTCAGTTATAAGCCAAAAACTGCACGTGATAGCTAGAAAGATATGATTTACGATACTTTGTAGAAACTTTAAGATTCTCTTGTTTCCCTAATCACCCCGGAATAGCCTGACAATGGTAAAGTCAGATACTGTTGTCACAAATGCGGACTTAACCATCGCTTCAATTAGATTTTCATGAACTGTATGTTTAATAGGGCACCTAGACTAAATTCCTTTGGAACAACAATCAATCAAAATGTCTTAATACTCATTGTACAGTAATAATGTTCTTCACTTCAATTACCATATGCCGTTGTCTTTCAAAATTACTCAAATTCAGATTCCGTTGTCATTGACGATATCGAAGACGCTATATTGTGGCGATTCACGACCCAATTTGATCGAAATTGGGATTTCATATGAAACATCATCACATGAGCTTAATACATGCACAGAATTAGCGATGATAAAATCCCATGAAATGAGGACCAAGTGATTAAACAGTTGAAGCGACAGTTATGTCCGCTATTTGTGACAACGGAAACTAACTTTACCGTAGTCAGGCTTTTCCGGTGTGTCAATGGTGGATGTATCAAGATAAAACATGGATTTCTGTTATGATAGACTCTTCCCCCTGATATGCCAATAAACATTGTAAATATTTGGCTAATGATATGATTAGGTATATCCTTGTATGCCAATAAATATTGTAAAGTTAAACCATTATAATCTGAATGCCTCTGGGACAAGCCAAAACATGAAAAGTGTTCAAATTAGCAGGTATTCACATTTCCAATATTTCTTAATGTGTGTCTTAAAAATTGGGACTGAGAAAAAAGTCTTCATAGTGACAAATGTAATGATATACAGGTTTCACTGTCTTACTTTAAGATAAGAATGATGTACCTCTGAAAGAGCCCCCCCCCCTCCCTTCCTTGGTCCAAGGGTATTTCGGTTCCTTCCATATAGCTGTTATAACAGTGAAGTTCAATCTTGAAATATGCCATCACCATGTATGCCAATGAATATTGTAAATACATGTAAAACAAAAGAATTAATGCCAAAGTATTCTCAAAGTTTGGGCAATTTTCTCACTCAATCTGCAACTATCTTCATATTGTACACACTGTATAGTAGCATAAATTCATGTAAATATAAGTACATAAACATATGTACATGTCAATATGTACATACTTTACATGTATAGTTAATTGTAATTATAAGTTGTATGATATAAGTCATAAGTTATTGTAATGCATGCAAATATAAATCACTATGGCAACAGTAGTTATTTTATACGTTATGCATGCATGTTCCACCAGCTGAATGCAAATTGCATTTATGCATAATATTGTTATTTAAACAGTGAACATAATAAATATCAAAAATTATTGGAATATTTTGTTCAGAATCTTGTGCGTTTCCTAGTTAATGTCAGTACCAAGAAGTTGTGACATATTTTATGTCATTTATTTGTTGTTTTTATGTCACCAGCACAAGTGGTGACATATTGTTATAGTCTCCCAACTTTTGTGACAGTTAGTGTTCCATGTGCCTCCCCCCCCTCCACAGCATAAACTTGAAAGGTACCTACACATTATGTATGTCATTGGAAAGAGCATTCAATTCTGGATAAAATAAACCCTAGATGATATTGCTACATAGTGTCACATGCATTTGAAATATACTAGTGTAGTGCTCTATTTCATTGATTTTTGAGAAGTGGCTGACTGTAAAGTGTAGTGCCTTTAATATTTTATTTATTTAGACTAAAGCTAGTTCACAGTTGACATAAAGATGACAAAACAACTTTTTGATGATGATAATCAGCAATATAGAGACAGAATAAGGTGTATTGCATTTAGAGAAGCCCGAGATGAGGGTGCTAGTTTCATTACGAAGTATTAAAATCTCTTGAGAAAGACACAGCCCTTTTCCATTCCATTTTAGCTTCATATCCGGCTAGATTGGCAGCGGTTAAGGCTGCCCAAGGGGGTCATACTCACTTTTAAAAGTAAATTAAAAATATATCTTATTTTCCATCATACATCTTCATCTTTTCACATGTTAACAACAATTAAATGCTCTTTCCAATGGTATATGGTATGTGTGTGTATCTTTCCTAGTTTATGCCGTGGAGGGGGGGGGGGGGCACAACGCCATTTGACACCCTTTATAACAAATGGCAGGTAGTGACATTTTGCATGTTAATGCCTTGTTTTATTTTAATTTTAATAAATTTAATTATCTTACATACTAACTGGTATTAGACATGTTAGATACTTTTGAATTCTCAAAATATTAGGCCTAGTCATATTAAATGTTAAGCAATAAGTGAACTGTCCAGGCTACCACGGTCAACAATTAACTACACACCAACAAATATTTCACCACTTGTGATCAAAAATTTGTATGTCATGATTAAACATTTCACTACAACATGTTCAAATCTTTTTGTCCAACATTATCAACACTTTGCTTCATGTATGTAGTACTTGAAGGAAATAAATGGGATAGAATTTAAGTGTGTAAAATGGCTGAAAAAATCTTTCAAAAACCGATCAATTTTGTTTTCTGGAGGAGGAAAGTTTCAATATTGAAAAGATTTCTGAATTAAAATATTAGAAAGATATCTGACCCGTGACATCTCTACATATTACAGTAAAACCTGTGTACATTAAACACCTATTGAGTCACAAAGAGGTGTTCACTCTAGGTGTTCAATACAGAGACAATTTTATACAGAAGTCAGTGCAGTATGTGCTGAGAAGGGGTGTCCACTAACACAGGATTTACTGTATTGGTGTATGATAGATGTTGTTACCACACACATCTCACATACTGTAGATGCACTTAATTTGGCTACCGTTTTAATTTGA